CACGAGAAGCAGTGGGGGGGGTGTTGGAACACGGGGGGTTCTGCTTTATGCCCCCGCAGTGCGAAAGCTGCAGCGAGGCCGTGCTGTGTGCTGAGCACCAGCCAAGGAACAAATTATGTAAGGGCTGAAGTGCTGCAGTGAGTAACAGCGGGGCTCCGCCGCAGCACGGGCACCGCGTGGGTGCCGCCACTGCAGTGTGAGGGGTCCCCAGACTGCAGGATCCAGGGCTGCAGGCATTGATGTACACCATGGGAAGCTGCCCCCTCTGCCAATTGCGGGCTCACAGCACACTGAGTTGTACCCCCGGCACAGTGCCCCCCCCCGTTGGTTTGTCCGTGGCCGCTGGCCCCAAAGGCAGCCCTACACAGGCACTGAGCGCACAGAGCTCAATGAGAGCAGCGAGGCAGCCCTGTCCCTTTAAAAATCTCCTGGAAGACAACGTTAAAAGGAAAAGAGAGGGGGAAAAAAAAAAAAAAAAGGCGAAATCCAAAATAAATAAACGGCCACATCCGGATTTCCCCCCTGAGACACTAATAAAGGGTTTATGAGTTTGATACGAATTACCCTCCCTGGCCACTCGCAGCTGATCTTCTGGAAGGCATTAAAGCTGTGTTCTTTTCCCCATCCCACAGGACGCAGCGATGCTGGGGTACCCTGCAGCCCCTGGCCCCTCTGCTGCCCCACACCCACATGCTGGCCCTGCTCCTGCCTGCACCTGGGTCACATCTACTATCAGGGTTGTGCCGTGTCCCCGCTCCCCATGCAGGGCCACATCCAGCATCACAGACAGAGCTGCCCCGGGGACCCCAAAGCACCCCGCACCCCGATGATGCTGTTCCCTTCAGCCAGAGCACCCCATGTGCTCACCAGAGCATCCCTGCATGGCACATCTCGTGGGGAGAGGGGTCCCCATCCTAGAGCATGAATGGGTTTTGGGATGCGGCGATGGCCTCGTCGTGCTGTCGGAATTTGGGACACTAAATTGAAAGCAGGAACTGAGGCAGGAAAACAGCTGTTGGCCACAGCCCTGAGCGATTTCCTTTGGGTCAGAAGCTGGACCCAGTGTGAAGCCGGGCTCAGTGCTGGGGAGGAGAGGAGGGAAAAGAGCCCTTTCCCGCAGCATCTGCCTGCACTCTTGGCACTGCCTTTCCAAAATGCCTCTTTCCCTTGCCTGCAGTGGCTGTGGCAATGCATTCAGAGTGCTCCTCTCCTTTGTCAGCCCCCAACACGTGCCCAAGAGCCTCCACATCCATCCCAGGTTTGCTGAGAGCCATGGGACTTAATGGGGCTGCACACCAGGCTGGGAACAGGAGCAGGTCCTGGGGTCACCTTCTGCTTGGGATCGGACAGAGCCATGTTCTCATACACAGAGCAGAGCGGGTCCACCGAACACCGCCAAGAGCCATTTTCTTCTGCTCCTTGCCATCCTTCAGGCCACCAAGTGGCCACCAACCACCAAGTGCTCAGCCAGCCCACGGTGACCGGGTGCCCCAGGGCCCGATGGTGGCACGGTGGCTCTGTTGTGCCCGGCCGTGCAGAACGGCACTCGGGAGCACAGGATCTGTGTTGCAGTAACCTCGGTATTCTTGGCCCCCCTCCAGCCACTTCCCACCACACGCATTCATGTGCATGATTAGCGTTCTTGCATTCTTTGAATGCGGGCCAGATAATGAGTTCAAAACTTCATTAAAACATAATCTTTTCTTCCCCCCACCCCCCCACCCCCTCCTTCCCATGCACACGCACACACGTGTGCACACACACGCGTCCCAGAGCCACCTGCAGACCCCCCCCCGCCTGGGGACTGTGCTCGCGGGGACCACCAGTGTCACACATGTGTTGGGGATCAGCGGGGACATTCTCTGGACTTGGCCTAATTAGCTGTAGCAGAGGGGGAGAGCAAAATCCAAACCATGTGCTTGAATTTAATACGAGCGCTTTCGTGCTGACCCGCTGGCCCCTCCACCCAAACGCACAGGGGCTCAGCAGGCTCTGCATCTTTAACAGCTCCCCGGGTCTCCCTGTAAGCACCACAGCACATGGAGCAATTCTGGCCCAGGCTTGGGCTTTGTCTGCATCCCCGGGGTCCTACAGGGAAGGAAACAAACCCTACAGCTGGAGGCACTGGGGGCTCAGGTAGGTGCAGAGTTTGCTCGTGGTGCTGCTCCTGGGCACGCTCCATCCCCCTGCCTCAGGCATGGGGTCATTGCAGAGAGAAGGATGGTGGGGCTCAGGCTCTGGGCACCTCCCAAGATCAGGTGGGAGCAGGGCAAGGGATGAATGCCATCACCCAAGCTGTGCTGGTGCAAGACTTAGGGCTGAAGGTGGGACCAGACCGAAAGCAGTCAAAGCTCCTGGAGGAGAGGCAGTGGGAGAGGGACAACCAGCAGGATGTGGCTTTTCTTCATGCAGGCAAGCCTCTCCACTGCAGTTCCCAAACCAGCATCCTGACAACTTGTAGAATCATCAAAACATGGAGGTTGGCAAAGATCACTAAGACCATCTTATCCAGCTGCCAACCTATCCCCACCATGTCAACCCATGAGGCTAGAAAAGAACCCTAAGATCACCAAGTCCAACCACGAATGCATCCCCAATGTGCCCACCAAAGACACGGCCAAGGAAGATACTTGTCCTGCAGACCCACACGGTGACACTTTTCCACGCAGAGATGCAGAGATGCAGTCACCCAGCACCAGCATCCCGCAGCCCTCAAGCACCTCCAGCATCGCATCGAGGCGGCACGGAGCGAGAGCGGATTTCCCCATAGGGCTGAAAGCCCTTTGGATGTGCTGGTGCTTTGATTACTTGACAGAGCATGTTTTTTAAATTACTCTTGTGTAAATATTTACGCATTTTTACAAGAACCATGTTGGGAGCAACAGGACATGGCCCAGGAAGGGATGAAGGGGAGCTGGACGGGCGCGGGACGGCCCCAGCCCTGCATCCATCCCCTGATCCCGAGGGCATGGAAAAGCGCTGATGCTGCTCAGAGCCGCCCCCGGCGGCCCCGACCCGCTCCCCGGGGCTGTGTTTTTGGGAAGGCCGATGGTGAGCTCCCCCCTCCCTTCCCCCACCCGCAGATGGGATCCACAACGAGCCTGGCGTTTTCCGCCGAGCTCAGCAGAAATGAGCCCAGGAGGTCAGTGACCAGAGAAAGGGATGATCCATCATTAAATAAATTGTTTTCATTTCCCAGGATAAAGGGGAGGAAGGGGAGGGGGGTACTGGATTGGGACTGAAAATAAAATGAGTGAAATGCAGGAAAAGCCCCCCCTGCGCTCCCTGCACGAACAGCCCCGCTCCTCCCGCTCAGCAGCCCCGCGCTCTCGCAGGGCTTTTACAGCCAATCCCTTAATGTGATTATAATAATTATTTCTTTACTAGCATTTTTTTTTTATAAACAGCCTCTTTTGAAATTGCACCGGGGGAGCCAAGACTCCAGCTGAGCCCTGGCCCGCAGGAAGGAGCCGGGGCCAGGGGAGCGTGTGAACGTGCGCGTGTGCGTGCGAGCCAGCACGTGTGCGAGAGCGCGGGTGTGCACCGGTGCCCACGCGGCAGCCAGCGGTGCCCATGCCCAGTGTGTGTGCACATCCCTGGGCTGTCAGCGAGGGCACATGGCACAATGACCACGCACATGTCGGTGCACACACGAGGGCACGTGTGCTGGGGAGCTGCCCCGCTCCTGAGCCTTCCTAAGGCTGTGAACCCCCAGCTCCCCACAATAAGCATGCTGGTGTTGGCGCCCCATCGAGCCCCCCCAACCCCTGCTCTGTGTGGTCCCCCCCCCAGCCCCAGGGCTGGGCTTTGAAATCTGTTGAAAGGAGACCATTTTTGCCAAAATAAACAGCCTGTCATGTTAAATTACTCTCCCTTCCTCTCAAAGTCCCCTGGTTCCCTCTCCCCCCACCCCGATCCCGGCCTTTCTGCTAGGGGCCGTTCTGCTCCGGGCTGACTCCTGCTTCCCTGGGGCACACGGGAGGCAGCCGGGGCCGCTGGGAGCCGCTTGGCCTCTGCATGGCCTCCATCCTTGCTGCAGAAGCACAGCAGGAGGCTGGGGGCTGATGGTGGGCCCCCCATCCCCACGCTGCAGCAGCGAGCGATGCAGAGCCGCTGGGTTCAGGCTGCGGGGCACGGCAAGGCGAACCTTTCATGTCCCACCCTCCTTGTCCTTTGCCAGCACCTCGCTGTCCCCCAGAATTCACAGCCACCCCATTCTCTTCGTGGTGGAACAGCCACACTCCATGTCCCCACACCGGGAGCACAGAGTGGTGCAGGGGCAGCTGGGGAGCTGCTGCAGGGTGCCGGGAAGCACCATGCCATCTATCCCCACACTGCTGGGTTTTTTCCTCTCTCTTGCTTGCCCTCCCTCGCTCTTTTTTTTTTTCTTCTTCTTCTTTTTTCTTTCTTTCTTTTTTTTTTTTCTTTCTCCTGTTTCTAATGGAGTGAAAATTCGTAGAACCATAAAATGCAGAGATGGAAAACGACCTATTACCTCATCCAGCCCAGCCCCTCTGCCAGCGCTGAGCCGTTCCCTGCGAGCGTCCCGGGTGACTCGTCTAGACCAAGCACGCACCGCTCCAATGGCCATTCCAGCGCTTCCCCGAGGAGATTATTCCATGCTCTAACTGACCTTATGGTTAGGAAATTTTTCCTGATGGCTCAACACAGTGTTTCTGTGCTAAGCTAGAGCCTACTGCTTGCTCTGTCCTGAGCACCCATCCCTCTGTTAGCAGCAGGAGGCTGTGCCTCCCACCTGCAGCTCTAGAGTGGCCCTGGAAGGATTTCCATCTGTCTGCTGCTTCTTTGCACCTGGGTCAAGTGCTTGAGGTCTTCCTCAGATGTGGGCCCACAACCATGTCCTGTGTGGAGGAAATGGGCTGGGCTGGTGCTTGACCCAAGTCTTCATTTTGGAGCAGCAAGCATAAAGGCAAGAGACAGAGAGCAAGAGGCTGCAGCAAAATCCTCCCTGCCCAGAAGTGTCAAAGCCTTGGGCTCTGCTTTCTGCACAGCCAGGGTGGGATGAGGTTTGGGCACATTGTTAGAGCCGTGTGCTCACAGGATCACCTCCCACGGCATGGAGGGTTGGGCTGGATCCAGCCTGCAAGTGCAGAGGGCTGGTTGGTGGCTGCCCAAAGTCTCTGTGTATGACATTTAGGGAGCCTGGCAGGAGGCTGTAGGCAGGGAGGGTCATGACAGGGATTTGGGGGGAGGCATTTTTTGATGCAGTTGCATTTGGTTCCCAAACAACCTTTGATGTCAATGATTTGCAGGCCCGTTCTGGCTGGAGTTCCTCTCTCTGTTTTGTGTTGGGGGTGTCCTTCCCGTGTGCATCCCTATTTGAATTGCTCTCTTGAGTGCTGACCCTCTGCATTCCTGCTGCTTCCAGGCATGCACTGCAGGCTGGAACAACAGCCAACCCGCTCCCCATCTATGAGTGCTCCCGAGGGCTTTCCAGGCAGATTGCAGCAGATGCTGCAGCACAAGCACTCCTGCTCCTTCTGCACATCTCCATCTTGCCCCTGGCAGCCCCAGCTGCGGCCATCCTCTTTGGCATCCCATAGGTTCGTGGACCCTATCAGCACTCTCTGCTGCATGCCCCTGCCTAGGAAAGCCTCTCCTAAAAGGTCCTGAGACACTTTGGGAATGTGGAGGATCTGGGCTCACTTTATAGAATCATAGAACAGTTGGGTTGGGAGGGACCTTACAGCCCACCAAGTTCCAAATCCCTACTGAGGCTGGGTGCCCCCCACCAGGTCAGGCTCCCAGGGCCCCATCCAGTTCGGTCCTGAGCACCTGCGGGGATGGGGCAGCCACACTTCTATGGGCAGAAACATCAGGGCTGAGGTGCAGTCTCACCAGAGCCAAGTACAAGTGATGGTCGTAGCAAGACACACGAGGCCAAGCACACTGCAGGGCGGCAGAGGCGATGACGGCGCAGCTCCATCTCCAGCCGCTGCCCTGCCCTTGGCTCGCCCCGGCTCTCGCCCAGGTGCCACTCCTCAGCCGGGGTTCCCCCCGCCCAGCACCCGCTCCCTCCCCGCCCTCCCTCCCACGGAGCTCTCTGCTCACAGCCGTACAGCCCCAGCCATGGCAGCGAGTGGGTGCCGCTGGCGCAGCTGCCTGGAGGTGGTCGCGTCCCGCCAGGGGCAGCGGGTGCAGCACTTCCAGCAAGCCGAGGACATCCTGCTGACCTTGCTGGAGCACGTTCACACCGAAGAGCCCCGCTTCCTGGTGGACTACTCCAGGAACCTGGAAGCCTTCGAGTTTGTGCTCTGCGCCTCCGAGGATGCCGTCGTGGTGGAGGTGCCACTGCGCATCGATGGCGATGCCCTGCGGGTGCGGCCGTGCCAGCCCACGGACACCGGGAGCACGGGACACGGGCACCTGGGTGCCTGCAGCCTCGAGGTGCCCTCTGTGGTGACTGGAGTGGGGGACTGGACCAGCACGTGCACCACGGGTGGGATGGAGCAGGTACGGTGCCTGGCACCGGGCAAAGTCCTGCAGCGCCTGAAAGAGCTCCTTGTGTCAGCCATTGTGCAGTGCCAGCGCCGCTCCCTCCTGCAGCCAGGTGCGTACCGCTCGCTCCATCTGCACTATCCCCGCCTCCCTCAGCTTCTAACACACTGTGCCCACGCAGCTGCTCCTCCATCCCCAAAACGACCCCAATGGGGTTTGGAGATGGCATTTGCTAGGGAACCATGGCCAAACCGCAGAATTGGGAAGGGCTGAATGGAGCAGGGTGGGATGGCCCAGGAGTGCTGTGGTGCACACCCTCTCAGCCTGCAGGACCAGCTGTGGTGACCTCCTCACCTCCTCCTCGCTTGTCACCAGGTGACGTCAGTGCCGAAAATCTGAAGGAAGATGCCATGGAGCTGTCCCTGTTGGTGCGTGGTGGCTGGAGAACCATCCGCTTTGATGTGGTCCCGGTGGTCAGGAGTCAGCAGGAGACCCCAGGGCTGGATGGGAGGCAGCACGACCGCGGCTTCCCCGAGGGCACCCTCCAAAAGGCCACCGGAGATGCTCACTTTGTCCCAGCCTCCAAACACTGCTGGAGGTGAGCAGCCCTGGTACGCAGCAGTGCCACAACGGTAGGGTTGTTCTAGAGCTTTGCATACAGATTGGGTGCCTGACAGCAGAGCTGAGAGGGGTCAAGGTGACATGTTCCCTGCACCCAGCCACAAGGAGGGGCCGAGCATCCAGCTGGACCAGCCCAGGCTAATTTCAGGCTCACACCAGTTGTCTAACCCAGGTGGGGCCAGTGTGTTGAGGAGCACAGCCCTGCTGCACCCCACCCATGTCCCTGGTGGGAGGGCAGGAGCTGCCGGCACCCTGCACGTCCCCTGCTCAGCAGAGTTGGGACCTGGATGCTGCATGCCTGGAGTGAGCTGCTGCACCCTCTTTAGCCTCTCCAGCAGCTCACTGCTTCCTCCCCAGGCTCTCTACCCACCTCCCCATCCTGAAGCTGCTCTGGGCCGTGGACACACTGCAGGGACCCCGGCTGGACAGCCTGCGCCTGCTGGAGCAGCTCCGCAGCCAGGACTGGAGGGAAGAGGATGGGAGGGACGGTCTCACCTTCAACCACCTAAAGGTAGGTCCTGCCAGAGGGAGGAACGTCCCCAAAACCCAGAGGGACCAAAGCCATGTTTGGAAAAGGGCAGGCTATGTCGGCCGTGCCGTGGGTTGTCCTGCACCCCGGTGCACCGGGAGGTGCCCATTTTTGGATCTGACAAGGCCCTGTCTCCCCACCCAACCTGTTTTTGGAACTTTGGGCCCATGCCAGATGGTGACGCTGGTTGGGAAGGGGCTGTGCCGGGGACGGCACCGCTGTCGCAATCACAGCCCTCTCTGCCAGGGCGGAGGTGGAGAACGCGGCCCCAGCCCAAAGCAACTCGAATCCAACAGGTTTTATTTCATGTCGTGTTCTTTGACGTTTAAAGGAAAAAAAAAAAAAAAAAAAAAAGCCCGGTGCATGTTTATCCTTCACAAAGCACCTCCTGTGGGCTTCTGGAGAAATGCAGGCTGACTGCAGGCTTTCACTCAGGTTTTCTGCTTGGCTGGAGCCTCAAAACTCCTCTCCCACTGATGAGGGAGCAAAGGCAGCAGCCCCAGCACATCGCTGCTGTCACACGGATGTGATCAGCCTTGGGGCCCCAGCACGAGGGGCAGCTCCTTCCTGCATGCCTGGCTGGGCACACAGAGGTCGGTGCTGGGCTGTACCTGCCTCCTGTTGTGATGTGCTGCTGGAAGTCACGGACCGGCCCCTCCCAGCACAGTGCTGAGGCAGCTGAGGCATGTTAATATTTCACACCTGTGGGGAGCCTGTGTGCATCCTTTCAGAGCTGCTCCGTAGCTGCGATCCCTTAAGGGAGCAAAGGAAAAGCTCCAGATGTGAACACGAGGACAGGCGGGTGTGATGCTGGGCTGAGCACTGGGTCTGGCTGCGGAGCGGCCTTGGGGACGTGAAGGTACGTGGGCTTCCCCAGGAATATCCTGCACTTCATTTTCCCCCTTTGTAGATGGTGCTGCTGTGGAGCACAGAGCTGTTCCCCTCTCCTGAGGATTGGCAGGACCTGGAGGGCTCTGTCTACAGACTGCTGGTGGTCCTCCTGCGCTGCCTGGCCACGCAGCGCCTGCCCCACTTCCTGCACCCGGAGCAGAACCTTTTCCAGGGGGATCCACACCGCCTGGCCTCACTTTACCCCAAAGTGGAGGCCTTTGCATGGGACCCTGCACGCTTCCTCCGCTTCCACTTTGGCCTCCCGACGCGTCCCGATGGCGTGCAGGCGGACCCAGCCCTCCGAGCCCTCCTGCAGCTCCCTGCCAAGGATGGGACATACTGGGACACGGCCTATTTTGACATCCTGCTCAGCCAGGTAACTGGGAGGGAATGCTGAGACCCTGGCTCTGCACTCAGCTGTTCTCAGAGCTCCATCAATGCCTGAAGTCGGCTGGGCAGCACAGGGTTCATCCCAAAACCTCTTGCCCTGAGCTATTACGTGCTGCCTGCCCTGCTGTGGCGTGTGGCAGATGATGGCAGCGCTGCAGGGGGTCCCCTCCCTCACCACACATGTCTCTGCTTAGCTCCAGGTGTACCAGATCCAGGATGCCACGCGCCGCTCAGCCATGTCCCGGCTCCTCAGCAAGCTCCGCAGAGACATCCCACTGCACAGCTGAGTGGGACTCACTGCCACCCCCGTGCTCACTCTGGGGCGAGGGGAACCCAGGCTGTGGGGAACCCCAGGCTTTGTTGGGAAGGGAAGAAACCTTTCTGCTCCAAAGATCGGCAGGAACTGGCCCAGCTCTGCCTCTATCCCTGTGCTGGGACTTTGCAGAGCTTCCCGCAGCTGCACCTTTCCTTTTGGATCCCGGAGAGACCAGGCAAGCTGCAGGGCAGGGGAGCAGCATGGAGCTGTGTGGCTTTATTCAGGAAAGGTGGCACTGGGAAGCAGCACACGTCTGCAGCAGATGGGTGGTGGTGATGGAAAGGATGGGAGGGGAGGAGGGCTGAAGCTGGATCCTATCCCCCTCCCCCCCTCCAAACACATTGGGCTGCTGCACCCCGGGCCAGGCGGGATGGGGAGCAGGGCATTGGGAAAAGGAGGAAGGCTGTTGGCCACCTCTGTGCAGTGCCCTGCCGACGTTCTGCTCCCTGTGGGCATTTGCTCACAGCCTGCTGTGCTGGCAGTGCTGCAGGGCGTCTCGCAGGGCCCGCAGCAGGCGGTCCACGTTGTCCTGGGTCGCGTTGTAGCCCATGAGGCCGATCCGCAGCACCTGGAGGAGAAGGGCGGGTTTCCCCTGCAGCACCCACCTTTGGTCCTCGTGTGGGGCACACAATGAGCTGTGTGAGCGTCCCAGTCTGTTCCTATTTAACCCTCATTTTCTCTCTGTCACGATAAAGATATGCTACCCTACTAATTAATTATGTGTGCAGCTACTCAATTATGTGCGAATCTGCGTGGCAAGGAGTGTTGCTGCACAGGCAGCAGGATGCACAGCCCTGTATCAATTTCATGGTGCACTGCTGATGGCTGCAGCCCCCATGTTGGCTTAGGGAAGGGGAGCACACCTTGCCTGCAGTGGGGCCTAGGCCCCCAGAGATCTCAATACTGTGCTTATCCATCAGGAAGGCTGTGATCTCCTTCCAGTTGTAGCCTTCAGGCACCCTGACGGTGGTGACAGTGGGCAGCCGCACTGCCTGCGGAGGAAAGGTACTGGGTTAAAGCCGTGTCTCCTATCTGCTTCCCCAAACTGGGGTCCCTCTCCAGCACCAGGGAAGCTCTGAGCTGTACAGGGCTGTGCCCAGATCCTGCACTTACTTCCTCCTTCACGAAGAGCTCCAGCCCCAGATCCTGCAGCCCCTGGCACAGGCGAGTGCAGACAGCCTGGTGCTGCTCCCACGAGTTCTCCAGGCCCTGGCAGCACAGAATAGATGTCCCCTGCCTGAATGTCCCGTGCCAGCACTGCTGGGGACAGCTGTGCACCCTCTGCTCCCCAAACCCTGCTGTAACATAGGCATGGCTCAGCTTAGCTGTCCTTGTGCCCAGCTCACCTGTTCTGCCAGAATGGCCAAGGCCTCCCGCAGGCAGAAGATGCCGCTGATGGGCACCGTGTGGTGGTACCTGCAAAATTCAGAGGCCCCAGGGCAGGTTCAGCCCCTGCGAGCCCCTGGAGAAGGCACATGGCTCTGCGGGGTGGGGAGTGGTGGGGAGCAGTGGCAGAGCCCCACAATTCCTGGGGAGGGGACCTGGGCAGGGATGCAAAGCTGGAACAAAGGGGCTGTTTTGGGGGCAAGGAGAAGAAATGCAAATGGAGCAGAGCAACTGGATAAGAGGAGGCTTTGGGTCAAAGAAGGATTGATTTAAGGTTAGGGTTAGGTATGTGGTGGGACAGCCACAGCCTCCTGTGCGGGTAACAGCCTGCCCTCACATGCGCGGCTCGCCACTGCAGCCCCAGTAGCTTGCCAGACAGTCCATGTCCAGGTAGAAGGATGGGGGCCTCGTCTTCCTCCTCAGCATCTTCTCCCTGGCAGAACACAGGGCTTGAGTGCTGCCCCATGGAAGGGAAAGCTCTCTACCCACTGCTGGCCCTGGAGCACGGAGCCCAAAGCAAGTACTGGGTTGGCACTGCAGCCAAGGGATGTGGCCAAGGAGGCTTCAGCTACCTGTGCCCCCAGCTCTGCTGGGACAGGGCTGCCCTTACCTTGCTCGCTCACTGAATGAGATGGGAGAGCTGCCAGGGGGGGCACTGAGGGCTTTCTGGGACCCCGTGTACAGTACATCAATCCCTGCATGAGAGGGACCAAGGGCTCTGAGCAAGGACTCTGTGCCCCATTTCCAGTGGGAAACACAGGGCACACAACACAGATGCTGGTGTGGGGACACACAGGGACCCCTGTGCCACACTGGCACCGTGGCTCTCACCCTGCTGGTCCATGAGGATGGGCGCTCCCCCGAGCGATGCCACCGCATCCACAAGCAGCAGGCAGCCGTGCCTGGAGGGGGACAGAGCTCAGCCCCACAGTTCCCTGCAGCCCAGCCCTGGTGGGGTCCCCGGGCACACTGACCGGTGGCACAGCTCGCCCAGCCCCTCCAGCGGCTGCAGGACCCCCGTGGAGGACTCGCCATGGGTGATGAAGAGCATCGAGGGTTTGTGCTGTGCCAGGCCCTAGTGGGAACAGCAAGGTGAGTACCCATAGGGGGCTTGGTCCCGGTGCCCCACGGGTGGCACACACCTCCTGAATGTCCTGCAGGGTGAAGTACTCGCCCGGAGGCTTCAGCAGCTCATGGACCTTGGCTCCTGGGGGGTAATGTGCACAGGGACGGGGAGTTTTGGGCACGCATTAATCGGGGGTCTGCCATAAACCACTCTGAGGGTGCCACCCCATAAAACCCGAGCTCTCTGCTATGTTTCCCATCATCTGGGTGGGAGCAGCAGGCACCCTGCTGCAGGGCTCATGCTGCCACCTCGCCCATAAGCAACCATACCGAGCCTCCTGGCGATGTCAGCAGCGCGCTGTCCCCAGATGCCGTTGGTGCCCACCAGCATGGTGTCATTGCCCTCCAGCAGGTTGATGAGGGCAGCCTCCATGGCGCAGTGCCCGGTACCGCTGATGGCCAATGTGAGCCGGTTCTGTGTCTGGAAGGCATACTGGATGCCCGCCTTGATGTCATCCATCACCTGAGATGAGGACCAGCACCGCTGTCAGCCTGGTAATGCAGGAGGTGTGGGCAGCCAGGGCAGAGCCACTCACCTGCAGCACCTCGGGGTGCATGTGGCCCAGGATCTGCTGGCCACCAGCTGCCCGCACTCGGGGGGACACGTTGCTGGGCCCCGGCCCCAGCAGCAGCCGGTGGGGCACGGCCAGCGGCCGCAGCAGCTCACGGGGTAGGGGGACACGAGGTGTGGAAGCAGCCATGGCACAGCCAGCTGTGCTGCGAGCCCGCAGGAGAGCTGCTATGGATTTCGGCAGCGCTGCGGCGCGGTGCATCCCCTGCCCACGGCCCCACGGACACTGACCGCCGGACTCTGACCCCACCGCCTCCCATCCAGTTAATGTGCCACCAGCAGCACAGTGTGCTCAGCAATGTCCTCGTGGGGTGGCCATGGGATGCAGTGCCTCACACAGGGCTCCGTCAGCCGTGTCGGGGCTGTGGCGAGGAATGCTGTCACTGAGGATAAGGCTGAGATTCTCAATGCCTTCTTTACGTCTGCCTTTAATAGTCAAGCCAGTAAAACTCAAGGTATTCAGCCCCCTGGGTTGGAAGGCAGGAGTGGGGAGCAGAACAAAACCCCACATTCAGAAGGAAACAGCAATCCGCTGCCTTACCTGGGCTGTACCAAGTTTGTGGGGCTGTTGGGACCCACCTGGGGTTGCTGAGGGAGCTGGTGAGGCGATTGCCAAACTGCTTTCCATCATCTTATCAGTGGTCCCGGTCAGCTGGGGAGGTGTCAGATGACTGCAGGTGGTTAATGTGACATGCACCTACAGGAAGGGTCATTAGGAGGATCTGGGGAACTACAGATGTGTCTGCCTGACCTCAGTGCTAGGGAAGGTTATGGAGCAGATCATCCAGTGAGATCAGACGGCATGTGCAGGACAACCAGGGGATCAGGCCCAGCCAGCATGGCTTCATGACAAGCAGGTCCTGTCTAACCAACCTGATCTCCTATGACCGGCTGACCCAGCTGGTGGATGAGGGAAAGGCTGTGGATGTAATCTACGTAGACTTCAGCAAAGTCTTTGGCTCTCTCCCACAGCATTCTCCTGGAGAAGCAGCAGCAGTGGCTGGGACAGTACATGTGTTGCAGGGTAAAGAACTGGAAAGCTGGGCCCAGAGAGTGGTGGTGGATGGACTGAGATCCAGCTGGCAGCTGGTCATGAGTAGCATTCCCCAGGGGTTGGTACGAGGACACATCCTGTTCAATATCTTTATTGGTGATCTGGATGAGGGGATGGAGTGCACCCTCAGTAGATTTGCAGATGACACCAAGTTGGGTGCAGCATCCATCTGCCTGGGGGTAGGAAGGCCCTGCAGAGGGACCTGAACAGGTTGGATCACTGGGCTGAGGCCAGTGGGATGAAGGTCAACAAGACCAAATGCCAGGTCCTGCACTTTGACCACAACAACCCAGGGCAAGCAACCCAGGCTTGGGGCAGAGTGGGTGGAAAGCTACGAGAAGGAAAAGCATCTGGGGGTGTTGGCTCAGGGGGGACCTCATCACTCTCTGCCACCCCCTGAGAGAAGGTTGTAGTGATGGGGGGTCGGCCTCTGCTCCCAGGTGACAGAAATGGGGTGAGGGGCGATGGCCTCGAGTTGTACCAGTTTGGGTATTAGGAAATAATGCTCAGAAAGAGCAGTGAGGCACTGGCACAGCTTCACAGGGAGGTGGGGTCGCCGTCCCTGGAGGTGTTCAAGAAAGGGTAGATGTCACGCTGAGGGACGTGGTCAGCCATCACAGGTGCGGGTTGGTGGTTGGGCTTAATGATGTTACCGGTGTTTCCAACCTTAATTATTCTATCATCTTATGATTCTGTGGCACTCAAGGTGATGGGACACGGGGTGCACGCGGCACCAAGTCCTGGCATCACCGCCCGGCCCACGGCCTCTCCTTCCCGTCCCCGGGGGGCCCTCCGGCACGGTTACACGGGACCGGGCAGGGGCCCGCAGCCCCCCCGGGTCAGGCAGCCGCCCGGGCGGAGGCTCCGCGCACGGGGAGGGGGGGCGGTTGCCGTGGCGACGGTTGCCGAGTGACGGTTGCCAGGCGCCGGTTGCCGTGGTGCCGGTTGCCATGGTGACGCAGGTCCCGCCTCTCCCCGCGCCCTTGCGGCGGATCCGCAGCGCGGGGCCGGGGGTGGTGTTGGGGTGGGATGCGGTGACGTCACCGCCCCGGGCGGCGGCGGCCAATGGGAGCGCGGGGGTGGGGAGGGGCAGGGCGGGACCGCAGGGGCGGGGCCGGCACCGCCCGCACCGGCATCGGCATCGGCATCGGCAGCGGTACCGGCATCACCACCGGCGCCGGCCCCATGCCGGTGCGGAGCGGCTGAGCGCAGCGCCCCGCCGCCCACGGGCACAGGTAGGGGCGGCGGCACCGGCAGCGGCACCGCGCGGGACCCCTTCGGGAGGGGGCTGCGGCCGCCGCCCCGTCGGGGCGCAGAGGGGCAGCGGGGGGCTGCGGGCTGCTGTCCGCTACCGTGCGGGCACGGGGAGGGAGGGACAGAGGGCGCGGCGGGCACGGCGGGCACGGAGCCGCCGCGGCTTCCAGAAGCATCGGGCGGGGGGGCGATGCCCCGGGGGCGGCAGGTGCGGGGCTGCGGGGCTCCTGCGCCGTCATCGTTACGCTTCGGGGTGAAACGGCGGCGGTCCCGGGAGGCGGCGGAGATCCGCGCCTGGCACCGCTGACCTTGGGGCGGCCGCCGTGTCCCCGCGGGCAGCGCTGGCGGCTTCGGACGGTGGGAGGGGGCGGCTGGCACGGAGCTCGGCCGCCCCTTTGTCCTCCTCCCCCGGCCCCGCGCTGCCCTCCATCTTGGCTGAGGTGGCACAGCGGTGGCCGCAGATCCCCGCGGGCCCGCAGCCTTCGCATCACCACCTGCACGTTGGATTCGATCCGCGTTGCGGAGCTGCGGTGCCCCGACACCCGAGAGGGGCAGGGCGGGTGGCACAGGGCACGGCACGCAGCCACCAGCCCCGAGTGCCCCCTCGAAGCTCAGGGATGGGTGATCCCAGCCCGCCTGCGCTGCATGCTGAAAACTGCACCGTCACGGCCCTTGTGCAAGGCTGGGCTGGGGACACGAGATGGGTGTCCCAATGAATGTGACTGGGGACAATAGCCCTTCCCCAGGGTTTTTGGCCGGCCTGGGGCAGGTGGAGGTCAGAGAGATGCCACAGCCACCATCAATCCAAAAGGAAGAGTGATCCCAGGGGCTGGGCGGCTGGCAGGGACACAAGGCTTTTACACCAACCTGGGAGGGGCGGGTGGCCAGGCTCCGGATGTGTCATGTCATTGGGGTAGTGGGAAGCAGTCCTCAGCCCCATAGGGTGTGACCCCAGCAGGAGGGAACCCGTGGGGATGTGGAACAGCAGAACACCCAACACTCTGTGGGTGATGTCACCCGAACCACAGCATCCTCCAGGGGATGGGTTTCTGCTGAAAGTGGCATGGCGATCCCGCAGCATCCCGATGGGATGAGAACGGATGGGAAAGGATGGCTGCAGGGCATCCTGCTGTCACCTTGGTGGGATGGCAGCACACGGGGTGTGGCAGCGCCGCCTTGGGTTTATCTAATCCCTTCATCTAATCCCCGCTCAATTAATCTTGGCTGATCCTATTAATTGTTGCTCTGTGGCCATCGGGCTGCTCCCGCGATGGAGCTCTGCGGGGAGGGGACGCGTTGGGGACATGGCAGCCACGTGAGAGCCACCCTCCCTGCTTCCCACCCGCTGGACCGCTCCCAGCGGCGCCGGCCGTGCGTTATCGGATTTCTCTCGAAGGCAGCGGATTAGGCAGGCGGTGGCCCCAGGCACGGGGATTGGGCCGGGAGGGGATGGCAGCAAGGAAACGAAATGGTCGGAGCTGCTCCGAGTCAGAAAATGGAGCCCGGCGCCTTGGCGTGGCTCTGCGGCAGCTTGTTCTTTCCCTTTGGTCGCATTTATTTTTTATATCCCTCGATCCAAGGAAGCAGCAGGATGGGGGATGCAGAGGCGTGTGTGCATCGTGCTCACTGGGCCCAGGGTGCTGCTGGCAATGCGCTGGAAATAGAGCTGAGAGCAGCCTGAGAGCAGGTGCTAGGGATTGGCATCCTAGTGGGATGCAGTGAGTGGGGTTTTGGTAAACCCAAACACCCCTGCACTCCTCCTGCAGGGATGCAGTGCACCTTTAATGTGGGCAAAGCATTGCCCAAAGGCATCACCACACTTGTCGTGCCTTCTGGCTGCAGATTTCTCACTGCACCACGCACATACCCACCCTTGGGCAGAGAGTATCGTGATTTTTGCCTCCCCTTGGACTAACACCCAAAGGGTTCTAAAGCAGTGCCCTTTTCTTGGGACCATCCTGTGGGTTTTCTTCTGCTCTTTCTTCATCTTCCACAAACTGAGCTGTTCTTTTTGCACATGAAAGCCCATCCTGTGTTGAGGGCCCAACACACCACTCTGGTTTCTGACATCCAAAGAAGCAAAGTGGGGCTGGCGCTCATCCCTTTGCATCTCCCTGGGGCAAACATCCCAAGGCACTGCCCCTGCTGCCTCCCCGGGGGCCATCGAGGCCCTGCTGGCAAGGCTGCCCTTTGCTGCTGAGACAATTGATTGCTGGCTTAGCGAGATGGAGTGGAAAATAGCTATTGAGTGCGCAGGGCAGGGCAGTGGACATCCATGGGGCACCGAGAAACTGCAATGTTTGTGTGCAATGCCCTCCTCCCACTGTCTGTCCTCGAGTCAAAGGGTTTTCCTCCCTTCTGGGCTGAGGGCTGGAAGCTGTGGGGATGGGCACACGAAGGGCAAAGGAGTGCTCAGTCCATGGGATCAGCACCTCGAGGTGAGAAAGCTGCCCTGCCCCCAGCTGCAGGCGCCGTGTCCCCTTCTGTCCAAGGGATGCTGCAGGTGGCTGGGTGATGCTCTTGGCTCGTCTTGACTCAGTGAAGGATCATTCCTCCGGCAGGGCCTGGAGGTGGGAGCTCCCCTGACTCCTCCTTGTCGCCCCACAGGACAGCTCTGTTAGCAGCACCCATCCCAGCCGGCGCCATGGCGGGAGCGTCCGTCAAAGTGGCGGTGCGTGTGCGGCCCTTCAACTCCCGCGAGATGAGCCGGGAGTCCAAATGCATCATCCAGATGTCAGGAAGCACCACCAGTGAGTACGGCATCGGGAGCCCCCCGTGCACTGCGGGAGCGGGGTTTGCTTGGGTTGCAGGGATCAGAGCAGGGGTTGACACCATGCAACGGTGGGGAAATGGTACCACCCTACATCCCTCCTCTTTGGCTCTGGAAGCATGCAGATGGGACAGCACCTAAAATAACTCCCAGCTCCCTGCGTCACCGGCGGAGCAGGAGGTGCCGGTGCCAGCCACCCCCATGGCACGCACCGCCAGCAAAGGACGCTGCAGCGTGACGCGTGGGGACGTCTGGCAGGTCCCGGTGTGGGCAGTGCGGCTCCCTCCCGCCGGCCCTTTGCTGACAGCGAGCTTTTCCTCGCCCGCGGCGTCAGGCGATGAATGAACAAAGCATGGGCTGATCCCGCTGGGGGCGCTGCGTGGGGCCGCGCTGCTCCCGGAGTCGTGTTGAGCCCCTCTCGCCGATGGAGCGTGACAGCCTGGGGCACCCCCTGCCCGGCAGCCAGGCCAAAGCTGAATGCGGTTGGTGGGGCGGAAGGTCCTCTCGCAGCCTCTCCCTCTCCCCAGGGTCAGTGCAGAATGGTGTATCGGGGCGGCTCTGCGTAACTCATTCAGCAGAATTCATCACGCCCCGCTGGGTGCAGGGGCAGGGGGATGGGAGCGAAGGAGCCAGCCCTTCCCACAGCCCTTGTTCCCCAATTTCCAGCCCCCCTCCCTCACACTTCTTGGCTCATGGTGACCACCCGCCTGCCAACAACTGCTGCTTTGTTCCACTGCAGCATTGCCACGGGGACGGGGACCCCGGCCTCCTTCCCACAGCCCACTGCCATTCCTGAGGGCAGCGTGGCACTGAATGGCCACAGGCTGGGGCTGGAGCAGCCCTGCAGGCACCGCTGCCCGCAGTGCTTTTCCAGGTGCTTCCCCACACTGATGTCTGCTCTCCCCGGGGCTTTATCCCAGCCTGAGGCCTGGCATTTCTGTTGTCATGGCAAAACACGGGGCTTTAAAATATGGGGATTCATTTCATTCTGCTTTGTCCAGTTCAGTACTTATGTGTGACAAATATAAACGACATCTCCAGAGTTCTCCTCCTCCCTCTCTTGTCCATACCTTTTTCTCCCATCGTAGAATCATAGAGGTTGGAAAAGACCTCCAAGAACATCCAGCACATCCATCCACTCGCTGGCAAATAACCAGAGTGAAAAAAGGGGCATAGAGAGCATCTCAGCTTTGGGGATGGGATAGGATGGGAGATCCACAGGGCCACAGTGCATTTCCCCATTTCCCAGCCACTGACCATGCAGGGGACGTGCCCCCCCCGCCAGCTGGGTGGCTGCAGCTGGGGCACACAGAGCTGCTCAGTGCCATCCCCGCTGCTCCCAGCCCTGTGCCCGGCACTGACAGCACTGCGACATGCAGTGTCTTCCCTGTGCCAGCTTCTTCTCACTGCAGGTTTCGGTCCCGACCCCTCCTTTGTCACCTTTGTGGTGACAGGTCAAGGACACGTTGCCAATTCAGCACAGCAAAGCCCGTTTCCTAGCGACCCTGCTGTTCATGAGAAGACTTCATCATTAATTTAGGACCTGGGTTGTATCAAGCACAGCAGTGGTTGTGGTGTCCTCATGTTTGCACTGGGTGCTTTTTCACCCCATTCCAAACTTGGAGCACTTGTGGTGATTGTGCCATGTGGGCAGATCTGCAGGCACCTGCTGGCGTGGGGTGGTGGATGGGCAATGGGATGGCGATGGGGCATCCCACCCTGGGGGAAATCCATTGGAATTTGGGCTGAAGAACCCATTGAAATTTGAGTTGCAGAACCCACTGGGATTTGGATTGCAGAACCCACCACGGTTTGTGCAGCCCCCCCAGCTGCTCAGTAAGCTCCCAGCCCCGCAGCAGTGACAGGGAGCACTGTGGTCCCACTGCCACCGCCGCATGCTGGCAGGGCTCTTCTTGGGGGCTGGGTGCCCCACACTGGGGGCTGTTTTCCCCCCCTCCCCACACAGCCCTGTGCATGTTGCAAGGGCATCTCAATGTCAGCGGCGATTGCTGAGCGCTGCATCCCGTGACTGCCCTCCTGGTTTGGGTTTCTTCTGACGCATCTCTATGAGTGTTGGTTATTTCAGAAGAAAAAAAAAAAAAAGCATCATAAACACTCCACGGGGTGGGGGAGAAAAAAAAAAAAAAGCATCGAGCAAGTGAGAAAGAGAAGTGATGCAGTCTCTAATTTCCATGGCAACATCCTTTTCACCAGGGGATGGGAAAAAGCAGGCTCTTGTTTCCGCTGGCGGTTTAACACAGGGCATTAATCACCCTGCTGCTGCAGGGAGGATAAGGTACCAAAATAAAGCAGCGAGCAGGAGGGGGCTGGGAGCATTGCTCCAAGTCCCTGGGGATGGCTGAAGGGATCGGGGCTGTGACCCTGAGCTGTCCCCATGGTGCAATGGGGCAGGAGGGAGCCCAATAGAAGGAGCTGCTCACCCGCACAAGGTTTTGCCCTCCTGCCTGCCCCCAATTTCCATCCCAGTGGGGATTTAGGAGTGAGCCCATCGCAGCCCACTCGGGGTGTGGGATGTGGTGCTGCCACCTGGTTTCATCACATCTTTTTCTGTCTGCCCCCAGCTATCCTGAACCCGAAGCAGCCCAAAGAGACACCCAAAAGCTTCAGCTTTGACTATTCCTACTGGTCCCACACCACGGTAAGCAGCAGGGGGCCTGAGCCCGGATGGAATGGGACGCAGCAGGATGACCTCTTTCTCTGATTCCTCTCCTGCCTTCTCTCCGCAGCCTGCAGACATCAATTATGCATCTCAGAAGCAGGTGTACCGTGACATTGGCGAGGAGATGTTGCAGCATGCCTTCGAAGGCTACAACGTCTGCATCTTTGCCTATGGACAGACTGGTGCTGGCAAATCCTACACCATGATGGGGAAGCAGGAGAAGGACCAGCAAGGCATCATCCCACAGGTACTGCCTGGTGAATCATACAATCATTAAGGTTGCAAAAGACCCCTCAGATCCCCAAGTCCAATCCCAGCCCACCCCACCATGCCCACTGCCCACGTCCCTCAGTGCCACATCTCCACAGCTCCGAGCACCTCCAGGCTGCCCCACCTCCCTGTGCAGCTGTGCAGAGCCTCACTGCTCTTTCTGAGAAGAAATTCTTCCTAATATCCAACCTGAAAAACTGCCTCACACTTGAGCAGGATGCCCAAGGAAGAAGTCAGAGGGAGGGACAAGTCGGGGAGATGATCTGTGGGTCAGAGGGACTGCAGAGCATCCCTCTGCCCGGGGCTGAGCATCCCAACTCTTCTCTCTGCAGCTGTGTGAGGACCTCTTCTCCCGAATCAATGACACAACCAACGACAACATGTCCTACTCCGTGGAGGTAGGCACATCTCCTCCTGGGAGTGGGATGCTGGAGGCCCTGCGTGTTGGCTGTGTACCAACACCATTAATTCCAAATGAAACTCAGAGCCCTGTGCATGCTGTCCTCAGGTGAGCTACATGGAGATCTACTGCGAGCGGGTGAGAGACCTCCTGAACCCCAAGAACAAGGGGAACCTGCGAGTGAGAGAGCACCCCCTCATGGGTCCCTATGTGGAGGACCTTTCCAAGCTGGCCGTGACCTCCTACAACGACATCCAGGACCTGATGGACTCGGGGAACAAGGCCCGGTGAGTGGGGTGCAGAAGAACACTGAAACACCTGAAAAGCTTGCAGGCACCTCTAGGGATACCGAGATATTTGTGCATGGGTTGAAGTTGGCTGTAAAGCTTTCCCTGCTGCTGGGGGCAGGGTGAGAGTTTGGTGCCTCTCTGCTTCCCCAGAAAGGAGGCAAGATGTGATCTGCCTTGACTGCCCTGCCCCATAATTGTCCCCAGCATCACTGCTCTGGCATTCCCTGCGGGGTGTCATGCCTTCTGTCCTCTCCCCACAGCACGGTGGCTGCCACCAACATGAATGAGACCAGCAGTCGCTCGCACGCCGTCTTCAATATCATTTTCACCCAGAAGCGGCACGATGCCGAGACGGACATCACCACTGAGAAGGTGAGAGCAGAGCCCCTGGGAAACACGAGAGGACACAGCGAGGGCTTTTTGTGCCACTGTTGGCCATGGAGAGCAACTGGGCAGGTGCTGGGTGTTGGGTACCGGTGTGTTGGACACGTGCCCAGCCTGCTACAGCTGTCGGTTCTGTCTCTGCCTGCAGGTCAGCAAAATCAGCCTGGTGGACCTGGCTGGCAGTGAGCGAGCTGACTCGACCGGCGCGAAGGGCACAAGGCTGAAGGTGAGTGTGGAATGGTAATGGTGCCAGGCTCCTCATCCCCATGTGTTCCTTGTCCTTTCCCCACACACTGCACTGGAAGCTGACACTTTTTGAGTTGCCCAGTGCCAGGTCAAGCAGAATCCACAGGCTCCACTTGGGAGTTGCTGGTTGCCCAGTAAGACCAGCTGCTGTTTGCACACCCTGCACTGGGGCTTCCCCATCCTCTGGGCTGCTGGGCTTTAGCGCTGCTCTGAAACAGGGCCTAATGATTTGGGGTTTTCTCTCCATCAGGAAGGAGCAAACATCAACAAGTCCTTGACCACACTGGGAAAAGTCATCTCTGCTCTGGCCGAAATGGTAGGTAGCCTGAGCATGAGTGAACAGCCCCATGGAGCACCCAGATTTCCATCTCCAAGGGAGGTTGTGCACCCAAGCTCTCAGATATGAAGCATCCAAGCTCCCATCTCCAAAGGGGTTGCAGAACCTAGACTCCCAGCTCTCAGGGTTGGGTAGATATGTCCCAACCTATCCTCACTGCCCAGCCCCTGTGGCTGGAGCCAGCTCGTCTGATAATACTGCCACGTTCTTGGGATCCCATGCTGGGTGAAGAGATGGGGAGCAGCTTACTGTCACCTCCCTCCCCCATTCCTTTCTGTTTGCAACAGAGCTAAACAATTTTTCTGCTTTCTTTGCAGGATTCGGGGCCAAATAAGGTGCGTGCTCTGACAGGGCTGGGTGGGTTTTCTCTTGAGGAGTGGAAGTGGGTTGTGCGGTGGTATGAGTTGAGCCCTGTAGTGGTGAGACAATGTGGACCCAACTCACACTTCTCTTGTGGGTTAGGCTGATCCCTCAGCATCTTGGTCAATGCATGACTCTTGTTAGACACCTCCCAGCCCTTGCAATGCGTTTTGCAGGCAGAACATTTCAGCAAAAAGGAGAGCAGGCAGTATGACAGCCTGACCTTCTGCTTCCTTTCCCCAGAACAAGAAGAAGAAGAAAACAGATTTCATCCCATACCGGGACTCAGTGCTGACCTGGCTGCTAAGGGAGAATCTGGGTGAGGCTGCGAGGCTGTGAGGGGTCTGGGGGGCATGGCTTGGCAGGGATGGTTGCTGCAGGGACCACAACTCACTGAAACCCTATGTCTGTCTGAACAGGGGGCAACTCCAGGACAGCCATGGTCGCTGCCCTCAGCCCTGCTGACATCAATTACGATGAGACGCTCAGCACATTAAGGTAGGCTTTGGCAGGAGGTCTGAGGTTGAGTAGGTCTCCAAAGCCCAGTGCTCCCTTGTGCTCAGTGTCCCTTCCTTTCAGCAGAGAGGAGGTGAGGGCTGCCTGCAGGCCCCTATAAGAGGGGTCCTCTGGCCAAGCCACCCTACTCAGGGCCCTGTCTCTCCCCAGATATGCCGACCGTGCCAAGCAGATCCGCTGCAATGCTGTCATCAACGAGGACCCCAACAACAAGCTGATCCGGGAGCTGAAGGATGAGGTGGCCCGCCTGCGTGACCTTCTCTATGCCCAGGGGCTCGGGGACATCATTGACAGTAGGTACCGCGCCGCGCAGAGCCAGGCTGGGATCTTGTGGGGATGCTCCCAGAGCTGCCCCATGTCCTGCTCCACACTCAGACCATCTCATTGCCCACCTCACTGTGAGGAATGGCACGTCCCCTCCTTGTCACTACCCTGCTGGGACATCTGTGACCAGCCCCGCATGTGCCATTCCAGAGCCCTCCTCACCCCACAGTCTGTGTCCCACTGCCTGGGATGATGCTGGGGGCCCCAAGGCCTCTCCTCCCCATGCTTTCAGGCTGTTGTCAATCCTACCTAGATGAACCCACTCTTGTTCTGTTTTCTTTGTCTTCTTCCCCCCGCTGTCTCTCTCTCTTAGCCCACCCTGCTGCGGGAGGATCCAAATGTGTGTATTGCCTGTCACTGGTACTCTGTGTTGCTTCTCTGCTTTGGGTAGGCTGTGCCAAGGAGCATTTGTGCAGCATGGGGAAGGGCTCCCACAGCTACTCCCAGGGCGCTGGCAAAGGGAGAGTGGCAGAGCCCAGTGTTCTCCTGCGGGAACGGTTGGCACAGGGATATCTCTGCACTGCCATCATGCCCTTCCCTTCCCTTGTGCAGGGCACACACTGCAATGTAAAGTCCTGCAAATTCACCTGGTGGACCCTTTTCCCCATGCTGTAACTGTGCTCCCCCTTGCTGCTGCTGCTGCTGCTGGGCTGGATGCTGCTTCTGGCACTGCTTCTGAAGGCATGGGCTCTGCTCCCAGGGCAAACTGGTGCCAGGCAGGCATGGTGTGATGTGGGTGGCCTTGGGACACCTTGGAGACTGGTTCTGCTGAGGATCATCCTGGGGGCAGCAAAGGAACAGGGTGAATTCAAGGTGGAGACTTCACAAAGTGATGGGGCTTCTGTCCCCAAGCAGCCAGAGGGTGACACCATCTCTCCTGGTAGTGCCTGGGCAGACGGAACGGTTCTCTCCATAGAAGCTGGCTGGCCCCTAGGAGCAGGGAGGTTGGAGTGGCCATCATCCCTGGAGAGGGGATGTTGACTCATGTCCACATGGATTGCACAGCAGCAGCAGCTGCAAGCATCCCGCTGGGAGATGAGACCAGCAGCTGGTGGTTGCTGATGCTTGAGGTGCTGGGCTGCAGTGAAGTCTGAGCACAGGTCCCTATCTCCTTGTCCCCTTTGTAGGATGGGGGTTCCTGGCTCTCCTTACTTTCCCCAAATTCCCCTTGCTCCCAACCCAGCACATCTGGGGCCATGGGGCAGGATGCTACATGTGCTTGGGCAAGGTGGTTTAGGCACCGTGTCGTCAAAAAGCATCCCCAGCAGCCCAGGAAGGGCTCCCAGACTGCTCCTGAGCTGCTTCTGACAGTGGCCCCAGGGCACTGCTGCTGATCTGCTCTGCCAATGCTCTGCCTTTTTATTTTAATTTCTGCCTTTCTTCTTGCCACTTTTTTTTTTTTTTTTTTCCAACAGCTTTTCTCGTCTCTGTCTTCTTTCTCTCTCTCTTCCTTCTTCCTGTCCATGTGTCTTCCCCCTGGCCCGTCCCTCTCCTTCCCCACCCGTAGATGTGTCCGACTTTGAGAACAATAATGGCACTATTGGGACAGAGCTGAGCCAACGCCATGACAATCTCTCCACAGTGACCAACGCTATTGCTGGCATCAGCCCCTCTTCCTCCCTGTCGGCTCTCTCCAGCCGCGCAGCCTCTGTTGCCAGCCTCCACGAGCGCATCATGTTTGCTCCAGGCAGCGAAGAGGCTATTGAAAGGCTCAAGGTAGGAGGCTGGCTTGTTGCACCTGCTGTTTGCTGGATGTAGAGAACGAGAGTTAAGAGCAGCAGCTGAGGGAAGTGGGGCTGTGCAGTCTGGAGGATGCTGAATCGTAGCCTCGTTGTTCTACAGCCACTTGAAAGGAGAACGTGTCGGTCTCTTTGCCCAGGTGACAAGTGACAGGCCATGAGGAAACAGCCTCAGGTTGGGAGGTTCAGACTGGGTATCAGGAGGAATATCTTTATGGAAGGGTGGTTAGGTGTTGGGCTGGGTCCCCACCCCTGGAGGTGTTGAGGAACCGTGTGGGGTAGCTCCAAGTGCCACGGCCTAGTGATGGGACGTGGCGGGTTGGGTTGGTGGTTGGACTTGGTGACCATGAATGCCTTTTCCAACTGAAATGTCTCTGTCATTGTGATTCTGTGGACCCGGAGCTGCCAGGTGCCCTGGGTGAGGAGTGGGATTGGTGTGACAGGGCTGGGCTGGAGCTGTTGTTGCTCTGTGAGATGCAGTGAGCGAATGCAGAGCCCATCAAAACCAGGCTGACTTTCAGCTCCATGGCTGAGCCCAACCAAATGTCCAAAACACTGAGCCTCCTTCACCCCACCAGGAAACAGAGAAGATCATTGCTGAGCTGAACGAAACGTGGGAGGAGAAGCTGCGCAGGACAGAGGCGATCCGGATGGAGAGGTAGGTGGGCTGGGATGGGGGCAGTTTGGTGACTCCCATGGGCTCCAGCTGCGCCTGGCGAGCACGAGGCATCCCCAGGGGGCACGCAAGGAGCAGTGATGGGTGGCTGCCAGGGCTGGTGCAGTTTTGACAGGCTCTGCTTCCTGCAGGGAAGCCTTGCTGGCCGAGATGGGGGTGGCCATGAGAGAGGACGGAGGCACCCTGGGTGTTTTCTCTCCAAAAAAGGTAGGATCCTCTAATTCTCCCTGCTAAATGGGCAGGTGGTACCCATGCAGTTCCCTCCAAGCCTATCTGTGTCAACCAGCTCCAGATATTTCTAGGGGGCTCTCAGAAACATTAACTGTTAGCTCTGGAACCTGCTATGCATATTTTGGTGCAAGCCCTGCTCTGTCCATATGCCACAAGTGGAAGACACAACTCCCATTCAAGAGACACCATGGAGCCCTGGTGACAGTTGTGGTGTCAGGCTCTTGGTGTCGGCTGCTAACACCTGGGGCATTTGATATTGCCATCAGCCTTCAGGGCTTCCTCGCTTGGAAACGGAGGCACAGGGGTATTAAATAGCATTAAATAGCAGGAAGCATTCTCTGAGCAAACACTGGCCCTGCCCCAAGCAGATCATCTGGCAGCGAGCCCTGCCAGTGCAGTGCTGCAGCTCCTCACCACCACCCGAATACCTTATGGGACCCACTGGGTGAGGAGAGCAGGCTCTGCCCCCAGCCCCTGCTGGGACACGTGGCGATGAGCGCTTTGGGACCTTGACGTGGCTCTTCTGACAGTTTTCACACCACCGTCTTTGTTTTTCACCTGCCTCAGCCGCTGCCTGTTAGGCCCCCCGATGTGTGTGTGGGAAGCGTGGGGGTGTATTCCCCAAAGCAGGTTGGTCCTGAGGTGGCCTTGCGGTGGTGCTCGTGGTGCCAACCTTTTCTTCAGCTTTCTGATTTCTCCTGCTGCTGGCGAGGAATGCTAGCTCCAAAAGCGTGCAAAACATTCTGACTGTGAGCAGAGCACAGCCAGACCTTGTTGCCCTGCTGTACGCCATCACTGGGGTGACAATTTGTCCAAATCTTGCAAATCTGGAGCAAAATTGCAAACCAAAAGAGCCTCAGAGTTTCAGACCCAGAGGATCTGGAGAGTATGTTATTCCTGCCAGCCACCATGGAGAACAGCCTGTGTTTCCTTTTACCTCCAGCTCTCCTGCCCTGTTTGCTGTGAGTCTCTTGCACCCATTGTGGTTTCTCCAGCTGGGGACACCTCTGCATGCAGGGTGCCCACAGGCTGATAGAACATTTATCCTCCTCTTTCTGAGAAACTCAGAGCTTGTCCCGCTGACAGAAGGTGCAATTGCAGTAGCCTGCAGAAATTCCCTCTCATCAAGTGCACAGTGGCCATGGCTTGTGGGAAGGAAATAATGGGAGGGAGCTGATAGGAGGAAGGACAGAGAGTGCAGATGTGGCCACCTCCATTTGAGGACTTCTTGTGCTGGGCCTAGTTGCATTCCAAATATTCCCAGCAGCCAGGGAAAAGCCACCAAGAACTCAACCCTTGGAAGAGCAAAGTGAGAAGGCTTGGTGGAGGCTCACAATGGAGTCCAGCCTTGGTTTTGTTGGCACTGGGTTGGGTCAGGGTGGCCACAGGACTGGATGGTCATGGAGGCTGAAGGGTGAGGAGCTGGGGGGTGAGCTTGGGTTTCACTGTATCCTGGTGACTCTTTCTTGTGTTCCCCAGACGCCCCACTTGGTCAACCTGAATGAAGACCCGCTCATGTCTGAGTGCCTTCTCTACTACATCAAGGACGGGATAACCAGGTGAGGGCCGGGTCTGCTGAGCTTATATGAGCAATACAGCCACACTGGGTAACATGTATGTCCGTGGCAATCTCATGAGAGATGTTAGTCCTGCTGATGGTGCAAGTCCAGAGAGTACTTTTGAAGCCCAAAGGAGGATGTTTTGGGGCTGGTTTGAGGACAGACACAGCTGCTCAAGCTGCCTTTTCCCCAACAGGGTTGGCCGGGAAGATGCAGAGAAGAGGCAGGACATCGTTCTCAGTGGGCACTTCATCAAGGAAGAGCACTGCCTTTTCCGCAGTGACACGAGGACCGGCGGTGAAGGTACAGATTGTCCTGAGGGGCTCTGTCTGCCCGGGTTCATCCTGGGGTCCTGCCCTGGGCTTGGGGCTCGATGTGAGGTTGGCCAAGCCCTGTTCATCACTCATGGTGGGAATATGCCTGGAGGCCCAGGCTGCCCCTCCACCTGCCGCTTGTCACGCAGTGATTGTGACCCTGGAGCCTTGTGAAGGCGCTGACACCTACGTGAATGGCAAAAAGGTGACGGAGCCCAGCGTCCTGCGCTCAGGTGGGTCCCCAGGGGATGCTTCTGCCCACAGTTCCATGCACTGCAGCCATCCCTGCGGCTAAACTCAGGCTTTCTGTCCCTGCCACAGGAAACCGGATCATCATGGGGAAGAGCCACGTCTTCCGCTTCAACCACCCCGAGCAGGCCCGGCAGGAGCGGGAGCGGACGCCGTGTGCTGAGACACCTGCTGAGCCCGTGGACTGGGCCTTCGCCCAGAGAGAGCTGCTGGAGAAGCAGGGCATCGACATGAAGCAGGAGATGGAGCAGAGGTGGGCGCGTGGGGCCGGGAGGAGGGTGAGGGTAGGAGCCCTGCTTGGTCATCTTCATCTTCCCTGCTCCTTCCAGGCTTCAGGAGCTGGAGGACCAGTACCGGCGGGAGAGGGAGGAGGCAAATTACCTTCTGGAGCAGCAGCGGCTGGTAGGTGGCCAGGCTTTCTAGGCTGTCCCAGCACCACCATGCCTGGCAGCTGTTTGCCTGGGGCTGCTCTGTGCATCTTGGAATGATGACAAATCCATCATCCCATCATTCCTGAGACTGCTTACCGATATGGACATGGAGTGGGGAGAGAAGGGCTGATGAAGATTGCATCCTATGGACTGCATCGTTCTTCTCCCTGCTTCCCTTAGGACTATGAGAGCAAACTGGAGGCTCTGCAGAAGCAGATGGATTCTAGATATTACCCTGAAGCCAATGAGGAAGAAGAAGAACCTGAAGATGAAGGTGAGTGCTGGGTGACAAAGGAGAGATGGAAAAGTTTGGGTGGAAGGAGGGGATGAGCTGATATTTCTGCAGATAGGTTTGGGAGAGGAGCTGGTGTGCTCCAAGCAGCCTCAACTTCACCTCTCTCTTGTCAGTTCATTAGAGGAGTCATTAATAAAAAAACATACAGAAAACTGGTAGGAGGAAGGATTTTAGAATGAAAACCAAAGAACTCCATTGCGACATCTGGCTGCAGAGCCTCAGGGAGCCAGTATGAAGTAATTGGGAGGAATTTTGCAATGAGTTTGCCCACTGCTGCACTCCATGCCCTTCCAATCCTCCTTCTCCCCATGGCAAAGCAGGTGTTGCAGTAGGGCCTGGATGCTTTCCATGGGAAGAAAAGCAGTACACCCAGACACCTCATGCTGCATCCTTCTCCCAGCCTCAGCATCAGGATGTGTGTGGTGAGCATCCCTCTGTGTCCTTCCCACAGTGCAGTGGACGGAGCGGGAGTTTGAGCTCGCCCTCTGGGCCTTCAGGAAGTGGAAGTGGTACCAGTTCACCTCCCTTCGTGACCTGCTCTGGGGCAATGCCATCTTCCTCAAGGAAGCTAATGCCATCAGTGTGGAGCTGAAGAAAAAGGTGGGTGCTGATTGCGAGTGGTGGCTCTCACCATCATGGTGTTGCTAGGCGCTTATTGCTTGGGTTTTGGGGGGACATGTGGTGTTCCTGCTTGCTGCCACAGCAAGTGAGCACAGACCTGTGTGGTGGCAGGGATCTATGGGGAGAGAGCCCTGAGCAAGCATCTCCAGCACATCCCTATCGTGCATCTGTGCATGTACCCACATAGTGATGCGGTGATGGCGAGAGCCCAGGCTGATGGCACTGTGGTCTTCATGGCCGGATCACCATTCTTCTCTGCCTCCTTCCAGGTGCAGTTTCAGTTCGTCCTCCTGACAGACACGCTGTATTCACCTCTCCCTCCTGACCTGCTGCCTCCCGATGCTGCCAAGGACCGGGAGAAGCGGCCGTTTCCCCGCACCATTGTGGCCGTGGAGGTGCAGGACCAGAAGAACGGGGCAACGCATTACTGGACCCTGGAGAAGCTCAGGTAGGGAGGGATGTCTGCGCTGGGCAGGCTCAGCAAGAGGGTTCTGCCAGCCCCAGCCTGATTTCTCACCACTGCCCCTTGTGTGCCCACATCTGCAGGCAGCGCCTGGACTTGATGCGCGAAATGTACGACCGTGCAGCAGAAGTGCCTTCGAGCGTCATTGAGGACTGCGACAACGTGGTGACCGGCGGAGATCCCTTCTACGACCGCTTCCCATGGTTCAGGCTGGTTGGCAGGTGAGCGCTTTGGCTCCTTCGATGTGCAGCCTGGAGGCACGGCGTCCCCCTGGGGCAGAGCTGCTGTCAGGCAGATCTGGCCCATCGTCGCCATGGCCCACGCCGCAGCCGGTCCCCTCCGGCCTCCCGTGAAGCGGTGCCACCAGGCAGGGGTTGTCAGCCACCGGTGGAGCACCGGTGCCGCCGTGCCCACCGCCTCTGTGTGTGTGTGCACATCTGTAGGCGTCCGTGTCCAAGCGTCTGTCTGTGCCACCCGTGCCGTGCGTCTCCATGTGCTTCCTGCACGGTGCCGGCAGTGAGGACGGGTGGCCCAACAAGGACACACGGATGTGCGTGCCTTGGAGGCCTCACCTCGTGCCACAGCGGCACCGGCAGTTGGATTTCCCTCTGGTTGGGTGGTGGGGTGTCCCCCCAGCCTTGTGTCGTGTGTTCCGTCCCGCTGCGCTGTGCTGCCTGCAAAGCCAGCGCCGGGAATCCCCATGTTTGCACCAGTTTGTTGGTTCTCTCTTTTTTTCCCACATTTTATAGCCGACAGCCATTGGTGGCTTCCTTTAGAGACGCACCGGATGGGCAAGTCTCTATTTCCTGACATCCCTTGGTTTGAGCAGAAAACAAACCAAGCCAAAAAAAAAAAAAAAAAAAAAAAAAAGCAAAATCCCTATTCTTGCTCTCTCTGTTTGGAACAGCTGGTGTTAACCTGTCTTCTATCTTGTTGTACTAACCTTAGTTCAGATATCTCTGGCTGCAACAGCTCTCCTCTTTTCAACACATGCATGAGCGAGCGCATGGCTGATCTCACCCCCTCCCCTACCTTCTCGAACCCCGACTCCGACATCACCGAGCCTGCTGACGAGCAGCACGAGGGGCAGGAGGAGGAGGAGGAGGAGGCGGAGGACCTGGAGGAAGACATCTTTCCGGAGTGCCCGCTGTGTGATGGCCGGGATCCGTTTTACGACCGCTCCCCCCTGTTCAGTTTAGTAGGAAGGTTGGTGAGGTTTTAGGAGAGCATGCTGGGAAGGAACTAGCTCTTTCGCATGAGGGAACTGCTTTCTGGCACGACCCCCACCTCCAGGGCGTCCCGTGGGCGCAGGGGTGGCCGGCGGGTCGGGGCCACCGAGGTAGGGCTGTGATAAACACAGCAGCAAGGGACCAGGGCGAGCGCGAGACCCCTGCTTTGGGCAGCCCCCAAAAACGTGAGGTCTCCCTGAGTGCCACAGGACCTGCACTCGGGTTTCCGTTCCCAGGGGGCCACCTGCCAGTTGTAGTGAGGACCACAGGTGTGACACCATGAGTGTGAGGCTCTGTGCTTTTGTCCTAGCGATGCATAGGCCACAAGTTTTGCAGCTGTCCCAGTGCAGCAGGGAAAAATGGGGCTGTGCCGGTCGCTGTGAACCCTGGCACCATCTGGTGGGACTCAGGGGGAGCCATGTGAGTGAGATGAGCTTGGGATCAGCAGGGGGAGGAGAATGCTTTGGGAAGTGGTGCTTTCTCTGTGCCCCACGCACTGCTTGGGATCATCTCCATGGGCTGGCAGCTACAAGCACAGGGGATACTCAGAAAGGGCACATAGAGACCCAAGCTGCAAGAACAGGAAGGGAAAAGAGCCTTAATTTCTCCTCCCTGTATGCCAGGACAGTCCTGGGCTTGGTCACTCCTGGCTTGGAGAAATCAGGGTGGGTTTTTGGGCTCCAACTGTGCCTTCAAACTGTCGCAATCCGCCCATCCCCAAAACACCCTCGTGACGCAGGCAGGATGATGCTGGCCCCCTGGCTTCACTGCAGAAGGCTTCCCAAGAGGCAAGGGATGTGTGCTCTGAGCAGCACTCGGAGCCCCCATTCCTGGGACCATGGGGGTCTGCCAAAGGCAGACCCCCCCACCATGCTGGGGCTGCTTCTCCCTTACCGTGTCCAAGTCTGGGGTGCGAGGAGGAGATGCAGCGGCACAGGCAGAGAGGGAGGAGGTGGGGTAAGAGCCCTGCAGCCTCAGACCGAAAGAGCTGGGTTCTTCCACCCTTTTTTTTTTCCTTTATTTTTTCTTTTTTCTTTTTTTCTTTTTTTTTTTTTTTTCCTTTTTTTTTTTTTTCCAAAAACCAAAACCAAAACTCTCGGGGGCACCTCAAAACCAAACCCACCGACCTGCCAAGCAAACCTCTGCAGTCCCCCAGGTCGTTCCCTCGGGCTCTCCCGACTTCTTTTGAGTCTGCCCCGGGTTTGGCTCCCCACGCAGCAGCTGTGCCGGCCACATTTCTTGTGAAGTGTGCTTTGATTGGTTTATATGATTGGATCCTTGTCTTTGATTTCTTTCTTTCTTTCTTTCTTTTCAGTTTGTTTTTGGTATTTTGTTTTTTGTTTTTTTTTTTAATTTTTTGTTTTGGTTTGGTTTGGTTTTTTTAGCTGCTGGCTCTCTCTCTCCAAAGCTTTAGCAAAAATTGGGGTTATTTCACTTTTGTCTTCCTTTGGAAAGGCTTTTCTTTGGTCTGAGCATGCCATCTTTGCACCTCACCAATCTTGTGGTTAGTGTCCCTGCCCTCCTTCCTCTAGTGACACACTTGTCCCCCTCCTCCCCATCCTCTTGTCCTTCCCTCCCCATCTTCCCTCCCTTCTCCATCCCCTGGATTCATCCTTATGGGCTGCCCACTGATTTTGGGGCAGGAGAATTGCTCATGGGCAGGCAGTCCCAAATCCATGCCTACCTGAGCCCTGGTGGCCAACAAGAAGAGCTGGGGCGAGATGCTCGGTGGGGGATTGCACTCTGTGACTCAACCCCTCTTGGAGTTGTTTTGGGTGGAAAAAGCCTCGGACTTTTGGGTGGAAGAAGCCTTGGCTTGAGGTTGGCCCAAGCTGCAGCAGCAGCAGGGAGAACCTCTGCACCTCTGCAAGGCTGAATCTTTGAACACAGGGCTGTGGCCTTTTCTGCAAAAGCCTTTCAGATGTTGTTTGGATGCCTGTGAGGTTAGGAAGCCAGCCACCTGAAGATGTCTGCATTTGCCTTGGGAAGCCTCCTGAAGCTGATGTGTCCTGACTGTTGCCTTCAGGATCCCTACCCACAAGACACAAAGATGTCACATTTCGAGACACATGGGTGGGAAAGCGGAAACAAGCCATCCCTGCTGAGGACATGAGGACCTCTAAATGGTGGAAGGACCTCTATGTTGTCTTGGTCAGAAAGGACTAACATCTGTCACCAGCTCCCAGCTAGGGAGGGAGAGGCTGAGCTGGCCAGCTGTGGACTCAAGGAAGGCAGCAAGCGGAAGCCAAATGACTGAGGAATGCCACGTGCCTGTGCCCAGCCCGGATACCTGGAGGAGGTCCCAGGGAGCTCAGCAGTCACACCGGAACCCTGCGGTGTCACCAGGCGGGACACGGCGTGGGGACACGTGCATGCCACCAGCCACACCTCACAGCATCCCCAGCCACCTCCAGCCACCGCCACCCAGAGCAGGTTCACCTGCAGAGGCTCTGATGCCCAGGCCAGGACCTTTTCCTCCCCCCCCCCTCCTTTGCTCCCGCCAGCCTCTTCCTCCCTCCTTCCCTCCCTCCTTTCCACCCTGTCCTCGCCTTGCCCGCCCCCCGTTGCCTCCGCAGCACCCCCAGCTCTCTCACGGCACCTCCTGCCCCCATCCTCCGGCTCGTCACCGCCAAGACGGTCCTCTGCCCAGCTTGCCCCCTCCCCAGGACGCGACAGCCGGAGAGACGCCGGCTCGCCCGCTCCCCGCCCCGCGCTGGCCCTGGCTGCCCCTCATGGCTTTGCTTTGCAGCGGTGACGTGGGACATGGGACCTGGCCGCCGGCGGCCGCCACCCGCGCTCTGGGATGCTCGGGTGGAGGCGGTGACGGCGCTCCCGTGTTGCTTCTCCTCCCGGCAGGGCCTTCGTCTACCTCAGCAACCTGCTGTACCCCGTGCCCCTGGTGCACCGCGTGGCCATCGTCAGCGAGAAGGGCGAGGTGAAGGGCTTCCTGCGCGTGGCCGTCCAGGCCATCTCAGGTAGGGACTGGCCCTGGTGCTGCTTCAGCTTGTGTGTCACCTGGCGTGCCACCAACACCTTGCTGCTTTCCTCCTGCAGCCGACGAGGAGGCCCCAGACTACGGTTCTGGCGTGCGGCAGTCGGGGACGGCGAAGATCTCCTTTGACGATCAGCACTTCGAGAAGGTATGACCGCAGCAGGGACTGGGATGGGGTTGGCTGCACGGAGCACGGCGTCTCACCCTGTAGGGTGGTGCCCAGCTGCTCTGCCTTGGGTGCCGTCCTGCCCGGGCACTGCCCCTCGAGGAGCCGTGTCTCCGGGCTGGGCGCTGCAATGGTGGCAGCTCCCTCAGCCCCGTTCCTCCATCGCCCTCCAGTTCCAGTCTGAGTCCTGCCCCGCCGTGGGGATGTCTCGCTCGGGGACCTCCCAGGAGGAGCTGCGCATCGTTGAGGGCCAGGGGCAGATCAGTGACTTGGGGCCCTCCGCTGACGAAGTCAATAACAACACCTGTGCAGGTGAGCAGCAAGCTGCCAGCATGCACCCAGCGGGGCTTCTGAGCACAGAAAGCCCACGTCCCCAGCAGCAGCTCAGCATCAGCACAATTCCTCCTGCTGAGGGCTCTCCTTTCCCCACAGTGACTCCAGAGGACCTTCTCCTGGACAGCCCGGAGAAGTCCACAATGGATGGGCCTCTGGAGGCAGCTCTGGACCACCTGAAGCTGGGCAGCATCTTCACGTTCCGAGTGACCGTCCTGCAAGCCTCCAGCATCTCAGCAGAATACGCAGATATCTTTTGCCAGTTCAAGTGAGATCATGGTGACCCCCCCAGGCTGTTGTGTCCCTCTATGCTCTGGCCTTCACCTCCCTTGGTTGCCCCAAAGCAGGGATAGTGTTGCGAGCTTCATCCCACACTCTGCTTCCATTCCATACAACTCTTTCATGGAAGCAAAACCAAAAGATGTGGGATGAGCCTCTGTCTCTGCCTGGACACATATTTGGTCACTGGGAAAAGCAAGGGAGGGTGTTTCACAGGCACAGGGGGCTGCAGGTCAGGGTGAGGTGTCTTTCTATGCTAGCCCTGCCCAGGTGGCAGCACCCAGCCCTGGGAACAGGCTAAGTTCCTGTCCTCTCTCCCACTCCTGCTCCTCTGTGCTGCCCTGCAGTCCCCACATGACTTCCCTTCCCTTTGCAGCTTCATCCATCGCCACGACGAGGCCTTTTCAACAGAGCCCTTGAAGAACACAGGGCGAGGGCCACCACTGGGTTTCTACCACGTCCAAAACGTGAGCACCTTCTTCTCTGGCAACCCCTCACCGGCACAGCTGCCAGTGCCCATCCCTAGAGCAGCACCTTCCTCCTCAGTGCCTGCTTTCTCAGCACATCACATTCCTTTCCAAACTAGACAGTGTGTTCAACTGCTCTTTCTCTCTCTCAGATTGCTGTGGAGGTGACCAAGTCCTTCATCGAATACATCAAGAGCCAGCCGATTGTATTTGAAGTGTTTGGGCACTACCAACAACACCCCTTCCCACCCCTCTGCAAAGACGTCCTCAGGTGGGTGCGTGTGGATCACATGTGGCTCTGTGTGCCTTCCCCTGGTGCCACGAGCCCAGGCTGGAACAGCACTCCTGGCTCCAAGGGTACGTGGAGGTGGTTGGCCCCAGGTTGGGACCCGTTTCTGCCACGGTGGCTTTTATCTACACCTGTTCTCTCTGCAGCCCGCTGAGGCCATCCCGGCGCCACTTCCCACGGGTGATGCCACTCTCCAAGCCAGGTAGGGGATGGTGTCCTGCTCCTCTCCCATGGCCCCCAGGTCGCAGAGCACATCCACCACTATGCCCCGCTCCCAGTGCCCTGTGCCACATGCCTGCAGAACCTCAGAGACATCACAAAATATGTCGTGCTCCGGAGCACCCGGAGGCCCTTTGGCACCTGCTCGCTCAGTGTTTGGCTGATGCAAACCCCTTTGCAAGCATCTTTTCCCCCTGCTCTCATGGCAGCCCCGCAGCATCCCTCCCTTGTGCCAAAGTGTCTGTGCGTAACCGCTTTGCTTTGTGTTGCCCTTTCTGTTTGTTTCCCTCCCTCCTCACAAGAGCACTCCAGCCCCCTCCGGCTCACCCACTGCCCAGTGCCAGCCGCGCTGGCAGGCTCACTCCTGGACATGCTCTCCGGGCACGCTCTGGCGGCCGCCACCGCCGCCACCTCCCTCCTGCGGCGTGGCATGGAGGAGCCCGCCTGCCCACCGCCCCTGCCTGCCGCAGACCGCGCCATCAGGAAGGCGCAGAAGCCCGGTTCGTGCCCGCATGAGCCTGCAGCGGGGCCAGCAGCTGTCCCCTGGGGGCACAGGATAGCAATGGGGATGGCATGGTGCTCCTGAGGCCACCTCCCAGGGGCTACATGAGTCCCTGCTGCCTTCGTCTGCTGAGACCCGAGTTGCTGTGGTTTTGCTGAGTGCGGTGGTTTGCTGTGATGCCTGCCCACCTCCTGCTCCAGCACCAGGGGTCCCATGTCAGCCAGCAATCCGGCTGCCCCTGAGCTGGTGCTGGAGCTGTGCTGTGTGGGTTGGGACCTGTTCCTGTCCCTTCTGGAGTTGGTCAGGTGTTCCAGGAAAAGCCCCATCTTGAACCCTCACTGCTCTGCTTTGGGAGTGGGAGGAAGTGCCCATGAGGTGCCCAGGATGGGGCTGCATCCCTCTGGTAGTGCTGCGTGCTGCCTCCTGCCTTGTTGCCACCTGCCTGGTGGCCTTGCTTGTCCCCAGGCCCTGCCTGCTCTATGTCCCCCTGCTTGCTGCCTTGTGCCCCCAACCTCAGCAGCAACCTCCCCCTTTCTGCCTCCGAGTTAAGTTGTGCTTCCAACCCCCTACAGTGCCCGCCACCAAGCTGAGCACCATGACTCGTCCCAGTGCTGGGCCCTGCCAGTGCAAGTACGACCTGATGGTCTTCTTTGAGATCTGTGAGCTGGAGGCCAATGGCGAGTAAGTCCTGGGTGGAGGAGAGAGGGAGGCAGCGTGGTGGTTGGCACCTCTGGGGAAGCACGGTGGGTTTGGGCACATGAGCAGAGCTGTGTCCCACCACTGTCCTCTCTTCCAGCTACATCCCGGCTGTGGTGGATCACCGTGGAGGCATGCCATGCCACGGGACCTTCCTCCTCCACCAGGTACTCCCTGCCCAGAACTCAACCCCCCTGCTCCTGCCCCGGAGCTGCCCAGGAGCTGTGTTAAACACCACCCTATCCTCTTTGCCCTTGGCATTTTCAGGGCATCCAAAGGAGAATCACCGTCACCCTGGTGCATGAAACAGGCAGCCTGATCCGCTGGAAGGAAGTGCGGGAGCTGGTTGTGGGTAAGCAAAGCCAGACAGGGTTTAAAAGGAGCTCTCCCAAATTCTCCCCACATCTCTAGAGGCTTCTGTGCTTCTTTTTCCCATCCCATTCACTTTTCACTTACTATCATGCTTGCAATAGCACAGAGGTGACTGCCCCGTGGGTGCCACCACAGTGCCAGCAGGACATGGGGTGCACACCATACACAGGGATACTGGCAAGAGACCCGAGCGGGTTCCTGTGCTTTGTTTGCAGGTCGGATCCGGAACACCCCAGAAGCTGATGAATCTCTTATTGACCCCAACATCCTGTCCCTGAACATCCTGTCCTCGGGCTACATCCAACCCTCACAGGACGACCGGTGCGTGCCAATGCTTCTCTTGCATTGCAGTGCTGGGGGAGACGGGGAGCTGGTCCTGTTCAGTGGCAGTGACAGGACGTTGTGCTGTCCTTGTCACCAACTCAGTCCCGTGTTGTGGCTAACTGGCTGGAAATGCCGCTTCATGCTGATGGCTGATCCCCGTGTGTCCAGGGCCATGGGGGACACGAGGTCCCTCACACCTGTCCTGGGGGCTGCCCCCAGACTGTGATGTGGCTGCATCGAGTGGTTGGAGCGTGTGAGTGTGGGGCACTGTGACAGTGGGGTCAAGAGTGTGACTGTTTGTTGGTGGCACAGGGAATGAATGATGGGGCTGATGCTGAGCTTTGAGTGGCATAGGAGCACACTATGGCAGTGGAACCATCTTTCCCTTTGTTTTTCTTTGTTTTTCTCCTCCCCACTGCGATTTGTCCCCAGGCTGGTGTGTCAGTGACAGCCCTGCCTGTGAGGTGGCACCCTGCAGTGCTGCTGGAGCAGCTCCCGGCCACATTGCATCCCACTGCCAGCAGGCAGGGAGCGCCTGGGCACGGTCTGTGCGTGCAGGTGTCAGACATTGTCACACCCACCGGGACAGCAGCGAGGCCAGGCAGGAGGCTGATGGCCTCAGAGTGGCAAGGAGGGTTCAGACTTACAGAGCTGTGATGGTTTGTGCCGGGTGGCTGAGGCGTATGGGAGCCACATGGATGTTATACCCAGGCACACAGGCTTGTGGGACTGTATTGATGTGCATCAGCAGTTGCTCTGGTCCAGGCTGCAGCCAGATCTGATCTCAGCAGCCCCAGCATAGCCTGATGGAGAGGAACACGGCTCCCACCTTCCCCATGCATTGGGGCCATGGGGTACCCACCACCCCCTGGGATGCCATGGCGGGGGCAGCAGGTGCTGGATGACACAGTGGGGGGACAGAGAATGCTGGCTCCCAGCAGGACACCGAGGGGCCGCTGCAGCAACCCCGCGCTTCCATCCTGCCATGTCCCGCATGCTTCGACCCCAGCCGCCTGCCGGGACATGAGGCCAAGGATGGCGGCAGGCAGAGCGGTGTCTGCCTTCGCCCTCCTCCCAGGCTGCTTCCGCTCCCTGCTTTGCTATCGTCCGCCCCACCGCCTCCATCGCCGACAGCAGTCCTGGCTCTGCCCTCCTCCCGCATCCTTTTGGACCTTCCATGGCAGCCGCCGGGACCCTGCTGCCCCCAGGCAGCCCTGGGGTGCAGTGCCCAAGGCCTTTCCTTGCTTCCCTCCCAAACCGCTGCTGCCGCTGCCCATCTGAGCCCACACTAACCATGTGATTGTTTTGTGTTTTTGCAGGCAGTTTCTTGATTCGGATATGCCTAGGTATTATTTGTTTCCATTGTTTTTTTTTTCCACCCCCTCCACTCTCTCCCCTCTCTCCCCGCACCTCAGCACTCTCAGTCCCGCTGCCGGCGGCACTTGGGTTTCCAGCCCCCTCTCCACATCCCCCTCCTCCTCTCCCCGCATCCTGGGCACCTCTCTCTCACGCTGCCCGTCCCTGCGGGTTTTGCTGTTTGTTTGGATCGTGCTCTCGCTCCTCCTCGCTCTCGCTGGCCTGCGCTCTCATCGCCCCATTTTTGTTTGCTTTTTGACTTTTCACACTGCTGCTCTCCCAGCTATCCGGCATCCAGCTCTGGACACGCGGTCCCAGCCCCCTGCCCCTGCCCTGTGTGGGGAGGGCACGGCATGGCAGGCTGTGTGGGGACGTGTGCTGGATGTACGCACACCCTGCAGCCATGTGCAGCCCTCCTTCAGGTGTAGGTGCGACGTATACATGGCAAAGGTGGATGCAGCAGGGATGGGGTCTGCCAAGACCCAGTGGGGCTCTGGGTTCCCTCAGCAGCTGGAAGCTGATCCTGCTCAGCACAACCGAGGACATCTGTCTGTCTGTCTGGCAGCATCCCACACCAGTGGGGCGCTTGGGAATTTCTTCATTGCCTTAATGCAGGCAACTTTCAGACCCTGGGAGTGCAGAAGCTGCTCTGAGATCATTGGAGGGGTCCTGCAGTGAGGGTAGAGTTAAGAGAGGAAGGTGTGGGGCTGCAGAGGACTTGCTGCAACATCCATAAAGTGCTAAACCTTGGGATGCTCTCCCTAAGCAATCTTTTGCCTCTGATTTGGGGGCCAGGGGAATGTGAGCATGTGAGATGCAGAGGTTAGTGGCATAAGAAGCAGCCACTGCAGAGCGAGGAACGGCCACCACGCCTGGTGAGGAATTCCCTTTGGGCACAGCTCCATCTGCAGTGTGGGTGCTGAGATGGGCTCTGATGGTTGTTGGGCTCCACTGGGCTCCCCCCGGCCCCTGGAGCAGCCCCAGGGCAGACCCTCGTGCCATCCTGCTCCTCCTGGCACCCCGGTTGGCCCCATCCTGGGCAGTGGTTGCCGCAGGGCACGCGATGGCTCCGTCCAGACGATGCTTTCTGACGTTTCGTTTTTCTGTGTGTGTACGTGTGTGTGTTTGTCCTGGGTTGCCTTCCACTTATAGCATTTCATTCGGAAATGACACTAGGTATTTTGCGTGCACATGCTCGGAATGGTCCCTCCTGCTTCTCTCTCTTTCTCCTTTGCCTCGTTCCTTCGCTTTTTGCTCTTCTTCCCCCTCTCCCTTACTCTCCTCTTCTCTTATATCCTCCCTTGGGAGCTCTCTCTTCTCAAACGCTCTGTGTCTGAAAAGTGATCCTTTGCTTTGACTCTGTTTTCACACGCAGTTTTCACATAGGCAACACCTCTGAGAGAGTGACTCGCTGCTCTCCAGCGTGGTGCCCCAGGCAGGGGCAATGGCCATGCACCCATGGGTGCAGCCAAAGCCCCCCTTGCTGGAAGCCTGCCCCGCTCTTGGCCCCAGTGCAGCTCAGTTCTGGCTGCCTGCACTCTGGCACGGCCAAGCTGTGGCTGCCTGGGGGTGCTCACAAAGGGGCCGGGGTGGCCTTGGGTGCGCTGTGAGTGTGGGTGCTCTGGCAGTGGGGAGGTAATGCTGGGGTCCCCCGTGCTCTTGACCCAGAGCTGCCTCCTGCTTCCCCCTTCTCATTACTGTACTGTCCAGACCCCAAAGTGCGGCCACTGCTCTGCTATGCGCCATCCTTTATGGGGTCCCACCAGTGCTCACCCCCCAGCTCCTGCCTGGACTCCCCAGTGCACAGTGCAGAGATGGAAAGCACAGAATGAGGCAGTGGGCAGGGACAGAGGGCAGTGGCCAAGGAACAGGGGGGACTGTCCCACAGGCTCCAAGTCCTGGGCCCTATCTCCTGATGGGGACTTCGCTGGTGGGGTCTGTCCCTCCACGCTGAGCATCCTCTCTCCTTCCTACTCTGGCTGTCATCGCCCAAATGGTGACAGCTGCTCCCAGGGTGCTGATGGGTGGTAGGGTGCTGGCCTGGGTGTGTTGGAGGTGGCAGCTCGCCTTGATCTCTGGGGACATGCTCCCTCCTCTGTCCTTTTGTCCCCCATTCCCTGCCTTGCCTTGCACTCAGCTGAGCCCCCCCTGCTCCCAAATCCCTGCGCACAGTTCGAGGGCACCCGTCTCCCTCCTGCTGCACCCATTCTGCCTCGGCTTTGCCTTGAGCCTGCATCCCCCAGAGTGGCTGCCCCCCAAATGTCCCATGCATGCCCATGTATTCCTGCAGGCCTGCTGCAGCGCTGCAGAGGGAGGGAGGGAGGGATGTGTCTCCCTGCTGGAGATCTGGCTGGGATTGCAGGGAGATTGTTTCACCGGCTCTGCTCTGTCTTGGCAGGACTTTCTACCAGTTTGAGACAGCGTGGGACAGCTCCATGCACAATTCATTGCTGCTCAATCGTGTCACCCCATACCGAGAGAAAATCTACATCACCCTCTCCGCTTACATCGAGGCAAGGACCCATCTCTGTGCCATTATAACACAAATGGGTGTTCCCTCACCATTATGGTTTTCCTGGTGGAGCACAGTCCTCAGGGGTGTTCCTCTGGCAGCTCCCCACTTGCAAGCACAGCACAGGAGGACACTGGGATGCTGCCCTTGCCCATTAATGGGGAAAGGCAGGGGCTCCTCCAGCCCTTCCTGCCTTCCGTGGGCTGCAGGGCACAGGGGTGCTGCCTGTATAACCCATGCACCCCGTTGACACAGCCCCTCTGCTCTCCTCTCTCCCCGCCCCACTGCAGATGGAGAACTGCACCCAGCCTGCTGTCATCACCAAAGATTTCTGCATGGTTTTCTATTCCCGAGACGCCAAGCTCCCCGCCTCCCGCTCCATCCGCAACCTCTTTGGTAGCGGCAGCCTGCGGGCTTCAGAGAGGTACCAAAGTCTTCCTGGTTTTGGGAGGGAGGAGAGGGGACAAACAATGCTTCCAGCACCCAGTGCTGCCCTGGAATGTGGGGAAAAACCTCAGAGTCTGGGAACAGAATCAGGTGACATCCCCCTTTCCTTACAGCAACCGTGTGACGGGTGTCTATGAGCTGAGCCTGTGCCGTGTGGCGGATGCTGGCAGTCCAGGTGGGTGCCCTGCACGTTCACTGCAGGGCTGTGGTGGGAGTGATTCTATGAGTGCCTGAGCCATGCTCCTATCCTTTGAGCCATGTGTCTGTCCCCTGAGCCATGTGTTTGTCCCAAAGGCATGCAGAGGCGGCGCCGGCGCGTGCTGGACACCTCCGTAGCCTACGTGCGGGGAGAAGAGAACCTGGCTGGCTGGCGGCCCCGCAGCGACAGCCTCATCCTCGACCATCAGTGGGAGCTGGAGAAGCTCAGCCTCCTGCAAGAAGTAAGATGTTGGGCTGGGAAGAGCTTCCTGGGGCTGAAATTCCACACTTTGCAACAGAGGGTGCCAAAACACACCCAGGATTCTCAGCCCTCCTGGCTTTGTGCCGTGGGGCTCTGTTCCTGCTGCACTGATGCTAGCCAGGTGCCTGCAGACTCAAACCTAATAAGCAGCTGGGTTAATGAGGGGTGGGAAGCATGTGCCCCAAAAAATGCCTCCAAGCTGAGCAGGGAGAAGCCTGGCGCTGAGCAGGGATGCCCTTACCCAGGTGGAGAAAACCAGGCACTACCTGCTGCTGCGTGAGAAGCTGGAGACAACCCAGAGGCTGGGCCTGGAGACCCTGTCCCCGTGCTCCAGCGAGGACTCCGAGTCCCGAAGCACCTCCTGCGTCTCCTCCCCACTCTCAGCTGATGGGGCCCCAGAAGGACGGACCTCTCCTCCCGAAACCCCCAGTGAGAGGCAGAAGGAGCTGGCCGTGAAGGTACCATCCTGGAGCCAGAAGAGGTTCCCAGGGGGGTGGGCATGGTGGTAGCGACGCGGTGGGGAAGACAGTGGGGTGGAAGAAGGAACCTCCTACACCATCATCCTCATCTGCCCGCAGTGCCTGCGCCTGCTCACGCACACCTTCAACCGCGAGTACAGCCACAGCCATGTCTGCATCAGCGCCAGCGAGAGCAAGGTACCGGGGCAGTGACAGAAACTTGGGGTCTGCAGGGCTGGTGATGGCTGGGAGGGACACATGGGGACACATGGGGCTCGCAGGGCAGGGGTGGGTGTGCGGGTGGCCCTGCTGCCACCCTCTGCTCGCCTGGCTGCTCCCAGAGCACCCATATGCACGTTCCTCTCCCTGCCACGGCCAGAGCTGTGCCCGGCTTCGGGCAGAGACTCCAGTCCACACCTCCGCTCCTCCACAGCTGTCTGAAATGTCTGTGACCCTGATGAGAGACCCCTCCATGTCAGCTCTCGGGGTCACCACCCTCACCCCCTCCTCAACCTGCCCGTCGCTGGTGGAAGGACGCTACAACACCATGGAAATCAGGTATGAAGGTGGCCAGGAAGCCGGGTTGAGTCCCCAGTGTTCACCGAGCAGGATGGCAGTACTGCTCAGGCACGGTCCCACCTGATGGTTGCTCTTCATCCTTCTCCAACAGTATCCTTTCTCCTCCTCCCAGAACCCCACAGGTCTCCTCCAGGGTGGAGAGTCCTGACCTGGAGCCTGTGGTGGAAGGAGAGCAGAAGAAGTCCCCGTCCCGCCGGCCTGAGGATGAGAAGGAGCCTCAGCGGCAGCTGGTGCCTGACATTCAGGAGATCCGAGTCAGGTAGGAGCCACCGGAGAGGCCAGGAAGGGGACCCCTAAAGGGACAGAGGGGGCAACCAGTGGCTTAGGGGAGAAAGGTGACAGTGCTCTACCGCAGCCACCTCCTTGCAGCCCATGTCCCATGGCTGATCCAGCCCTCTCTGTCTTTCTGCAGCCCCATCGTCTCCAAAAAGGGCTACCTGCACTTCCTGGAGCCCCACACCAATGGGTGGGTGAAGCGTTTTGTGGTGGTCAGGCGCCCATATGTCTACATCTACAACTCAGACAAGGACTCAGTGGAGAGGGCCATACTCAACCTCTCCAAGGCCCAAGTGGAGTACAGTGAGGACCAGCAGGCCATGCTGAAGGTGGGTGCCAGCCTCACACGGGGAGCCTCAACACCCTGGCTAAGGTGCTGACCCCAAGCTCTCCCCTAGCAGACCCCCAACACGTTTGCGGTGTGCACGGAGCACCGGGGCATCCTGCTGCAGGCAAGCAGTGACAAGGACATGCACGACTGGCTCTATGCCTTCAACCCCCTCCTGGCTGGGTCCATAAGGTACGGAGTGGGTGACAGAAGGAGTGTGCTTTGGTGAATGGGCTGTAGGAAGGGGTGGGGAAGCAGCTGAGCACTGTCCCTGGGCTGCAAGCTGCTGTCCTTCCTCGCCAGACATGGGGAGTGCCTGCTGAGCCAGGCTGGGATGGAAAGGGCTTTAAACTGACAGAGTTTGGGACATGTAAATTACAATTTCAGCTCCGCCACTTTATAGCTGTAAGGAGTTACTCCTCCCCACTTAACCAAGGGCTATGTTGTGGCTGGTACAGGGACCGAGCTCAAAGCAGCACCCATATGCAGCAACTGAGCCTTTGCTCTTCTTGAGAACATGTCAAGAAGTTCTTGACATCCTCTCAAATTGCAGAAGGGGAATAGGAACCAATGCACAGAGATTTGTGAGCCCTGGCAAAGGAGCACTGTTAACCCCATGCCCCTCTGGTTCCAGCTGGATTCAAGAACCAGCCTGCACCCAAGATACCACAGATCTCCCTTTCCTCATCTCTGACTTCTTTTGTCTGTGAATTGGTTTCTAATTCAGGTCCAAGCTGTCCAGAAGGAGAACAGCCCAGATGAGAATCTAACCTGAAAACCACCCTCCACCTCATCCGTCTGCCAACAGGATCAAGATAGCAGATTCTGTCTCAAGAGTCCCCATGTTAACATCCGATCTCTCACACCATCTGCTGCCCCAGCTGCCTGCTCCATGGAAGGATCCGTCTCGATCTACACCTTCACGGGGGAAACTCATTTCTGTTCGTAGCTGCAAACGCCCGGTCCCACCTGGGCAGGATTTCTCGTGTGCATGTGATCTTCTGCCCGTCCCCCCATGGGTGGCCTTCATGTCACACAACCTGTAACGTTCCTGAAAGGTTCCTTTCGGAGAGGAGGGAGCAAGGAGGGTAGATCCGGTTAAAAGCTGGTCTTTGATCTACAGAGGTAGCAGTGTCGTAAAGCTCAGAGATGAGAAATCGGGAGGAATTGCTTCCACGTGAAGGGAAAGTGGTAGTTTAGGTATGGGGATTTCCTAATTTATTGTTTCTACAAAAGATGGCAGGGCAAAATCAGGTGTCAGTAGTTTAAGATTATATTTATAAAGTATTTATTTCTATTTACATCACAAAAACCCATACACTGGGTCCCGGCCCCCGAACAATGCCTCCCCTGAGCCGGGGAGAGGCTTGGCAGCAGGCTGGTGCCAAGGCCACCGCAGCCCCTCTCTCAGAGACACCTTTCTGAGAGAAGGGACCAAACACGGCGACTGCAGTGCGCTCGCCCTCTCTCCCCATCCTTCCCTCAACCTTCTGCTTTGCCCCCCAGCGCTTAAACTACTTTTCCCAGAAGCGGTGACCAGACCAGGCACCACGTCTTCCCAAGCGAGGCAATTCCTCCCTGCCCCATCTACCTCTGGCGGGGGACACACGCTGTTTTGGGCGGCCAGGGCACTCACATGCACATGGATGAGCCAACTGCCCGAGCCCCGTGGGATGGTTGCGCCTCACTGAGAGAAATTGCATTTGGGCTCCTTTTTCTGTCCAGTGCCTGAAATGCAGCCCACGTCAGCTGTCCCCATGCTGCTCCCAGGGCCTCCTCCCAAACAGCTGCGGAGGTCGGCATCGCCATGGGGGGGGAGCACGGAGGCTGGGCAGGCTGTTCCCAAAGCTGTCTGGCAACGCTTCCCAGGAGCCGGGATTCGGAGCAGCCATCCCAGCCCCAAAGCTCCTCACCGCCCTCGCCCCCAAAGGCTCTGCTGTCCCCTTCTGCAGGAAGAACAGGGCTGAGGCAGGTGATTGGGCAGTGCAGAGACCAGCGTCGGGGTGGGGATGGTGCGGAGCAGAGAGGCCGGGGCTTCTTACTTTCATAGCTGATGTTTTCGTACCCCACACCCCCGTTCCAGAAGTGCAATCCCACCTTCGTCCCCTCGCCTCCATAGATGACTCAGTCTATGGCTGCAGCTCAGCCGTGCCGGCGGGGCTCCCCACAGCCTCCTTCTCCCCAACAACTCCCTCACCCATCGCTCACGTCCCTCCTCTCGTCTGTTCGTTGGTCGTTTTGCCGAGCGTGGGCGCTTCACTTCAGGGCTTCCCGAGGGTGGCCCATGCAGCTCCGGGCAGGAAGGCGGGCGCCTTCCCCCGCACATCCCCAGGCCCTGCCGGGTCTCGCTTCGCTGTCACGCGTTCACAGCCAACCTTAATTTGCACAGCACGGCCACATCTCGGCCCCACCGCCGCACGTCCCCACGCTGTCCCCTGTGTTGTCGGTGCGGTGCTGGGCAGAGGCCGTCCCTCCACACCGTTTGCTCCTTTGTAAACCCGCAGGGACGCAGAGGACGGGGGTGGCCGGGCGCGTCGCCCCCCCGTTCGGCTGTTTCCCTCCTTGGTAGGATCCCAGTTTGGCCCAACTCCTGCCTGGGGGCGAGAGGCTCCCGCGGGGTGAAGGCAGCTCCCGGCAGAGGCCTTCCGACAGGGCCGGGCCCGGTGTCTGCCAGCAACCAGACACCGCTCCGGCGGCCGTGCGGGGCTGTGGGCCCGGCTCCGAGGCGTGCCTGAGGCCAGCCAACCTGCAGAGCGCGCCGCAGGGCCGGGCCCGAGGCCCGCAGCTCGAGGCCCGCAGCTCGAGGCCCACTTGAGCCCCGCATCCTCTCGGCCCCACGCGGGACCGCAGCCGTTCCCACCCCGCTCCCGTGCCCCCTCCTCCCCGTGTTGGAGCTTCGGGCCCCGGCCGCCTGCCCGCGCGCGCCAGGCTTGTTCGGTTCTGAAATAAATGTGGCATTGACGCAGCCGCCTCGAGCCGTGCTTTGCTGGGGGTGCGGGGAGCGCCGGGCAGGTGGGGCGGCGGGGCGGTGGGGCGGTGGGTTCCCTCACGGCGCCGCCAGAGGGCGCTTCCCCTTCCCCCCCAAAAGCCGGGCACGCGGCTGGCGCCCTGCCGCGCCGTTGGCCAGAACGGTATTGATTGGCAGCGCCGTTCCGCTTCGCGATTGGTGAACGCGCCGCTGCGTCACCGCCCCTCGGCGGCGCGTCGATAAGCGCCGGAGCACTTCCGCCGCCGCCGCGCCGCTTTCTCGCCGACTTCCGGCCTTCTCGCGGCATCCCATTGGCCGTCAGGCGGCGACGCCCCGCCCCGCGGGCCTGATTGGCAGGGGCGGGGCGCGGCGGCGGGGCGGGCGGCGTCGGGCCGGGCGCGGTGGATGGACCTGTTCGGGGACCTGCCCGAGCCCGGCGGCTCGGCCCAGGGTGAGGGGCGGGGGGAGCCCGGCGGGGCTTCGGGGCCGCTCCGGGCTGCGGGTGGCCACCGGGGCCTTTCCGGCGGCGGGAGGCCGGAGCGCTCGGCGGCGCGGCCTGGAGGCCGCCTCGTTGCTGGGCTGTGAGGGGAGGCCCTGGGGGTGCGGCTGCCGCCCCTCCGCGCCGGGGCCTGCCGCCCGTGCCGAGCCTCTCCGGTGTCTTGCAGGGAAGGAGGCCCAGGGGCAGCTTCGGCTCTTCGACGACCTCCCGCCGGCCGGCAGCGCCGACACAGGTAAGGTCCCGCCGTGCCCCGCTTCGTGCCGTGTCGGCGTGCCTCCGGCGGGCGTCGGGCTGCGGAGGCCTCCGTGCGGAGGTTGGAATGCGGCTGCCTTTGGTTGTGTAACTCGTGCCCGCTCTGAGGGCCGGGCGGAGCTTTGTTCCCCCACAATGACAAAGGTGCTCGCTTTTCGCCTTTCTGTTGTGCTCCAGGAAAAGGAAGCTCTTTGCTCTTCGATGACCTCCCACCGGCCAGCAGCAGCGATGCAGGTAAGCAGCTGTGTTGGCTCCGCTGGCCCGGCCTTTCCGGCCTCTTCAGAACCCGACTGTTGGTAGGCAGGGCTCTGTGTGCAGCCGGATGGTTGCCAGCTCCTGGGGGGAGGCTGTAATGTATGGGAATGGGAGAAGATTCTGATGCCACGGCAGCTATTTTTAATTGACAGCTTCAGTTTGTGACCTGTGTTCTGGAGTCTATAATGAATACACTGTGCTCCTTCAGAGTAATGATGTGAGCTTCCTCGTGTTGTTGTGGCCACAACTCCATAGATACAAATGTTAATGAAGACCAAGCAAAGCTCTGATCTGGAATGTTAACTGTCTGAACATTCAACTGCAATAAAGGCTAGGAGCTAGGAAATGGTTTGTGGCCTGGGAAGAATCAGATGCCCTCTAGCTGTACCTGGCTGTACTGTGGCTGAGGGAGGGCTGTGTGATTCGAGGTGACCACATATGTGTGTGCTGGGTTAGATAGTGATGTGGGCTGCCTGTCACTTAATGCTGTGTGAGCATGCCAGTCTGTGCTCCTGAGAGTGCATCAGTACAGGAGGACTTACTGCGGAGGTCCTGCAAATAAAACCAAGCTGGAAGTCCTCAGCTGCCTGCTTTTATTCTCTTTCAGCCTCCAGCACTCCTGAGCAGGTCTCAGCAGGGAGCCATGCAAAAGGGGAGAAGAGGAAGTCCTTGGAGGAGGAAGAGAAGAATGGCAGGGAAGAACTTGTGGAAAAGAAAGTTTGTAAAGGTTTTCAGACAGTTTGAAAACAAATGTACTCAATTTATACTTTTGACGTTTTGCTGAGGAAGTCCAGACTAAAGCTGAGCCTTGGTTCTTCAGTCTGCTGGCATTTGCAGCCTCTCGTGGGGAGCAGACTGCAGAGGAAGGAGCCCCTCAAACTCTCTGGCATTCTGCCTCCCTCACATGGGCCTCCATACCAGCCTGCTGAAGTGGCAGGAGCTGGGCAGTGTGAGTGCCTTGGCATCTGCAGAGTAAGGGGTTGTGCTGCCAGCAGGGGAACTGGGTGTGAAGCCTCTGGAAGGCTTGACCTGCACCAGTTTCTTTTGCCAGATCCACAAATCTCTCTTGAGTGGCTGCTGAGAAAGCCAGAGAGAGAGAGAAAGGCTTATTTGTGTTGACATATAATACATTTGACTTCAGTGCAAGTTCCCACATGTTATGTTCAGCTTTGGGAAACCAGATGTGTTCAGTGAAAAGGAAATTACATATTCTGGAAACAGCAGAGTTTGCTCTCCTGCTCTCACCCATGCCTTAAAGCTATGCTTTGTTTAATCTGTTTCAGTTGTGCCATTCATTCTCACTCCACCATTTGATAAGAGCCCCCTGTGATGCCCAGCAGTACTGCTTGTGTACAGCTGTCCCCCAAAACAGTGCAGGCTACTTCTGTAGCTGCTGACCTCATGTTACAAAATACACTATGCTCAGCAGAAGGTGCCAGATATGGCCCTTGCTTTGCAACAGCCTACTTTGCTGTGTGTTTGTGAAAGCTGAAAAGTGACCATCGATGTGAGCTGAGGCAGTGAGGGAGTTTGATTGGCGTGTGTCTGTTTGTCTCCTTTAGGGTCAGTGGGCATTCTTGGATTGAAGGGCTACGTGGCAGAGAGGAAAGGTGAAAGAGAAGACATGCAGGATGCACACGTCATCTTAAATGATATCACTGAGGAGTGCCAGCCTCTGCCCTCCCAAGTGTAAGTGAGGCCTGACTGCCAAAGCCAGGGGATAAAGCTGTGGATGGCAGCCAGGTGTGGAGGTGAAGGAGCTCCAGCTTGCCTCACCAAAACCTGTGGGGTGTGATGGTTTTTGCTTTAAGCAGCTGCTGCTCTTGCTTACAGGCTGCTTTGTGATGTGTCTTTTGGGCTTGTTATTGGGAAATCTGGAGCTAATCGTTAGCCTTGTTCCTGAGCTTATCACAGAACTAGATTATATATAAATACCTTCCAGTGGTACTCAGTGAATTTAGTCACTGACTTCACAAGAACTGTGAGGGCCTAATAACTCTGGATATTGAGTTTCTGTTACCCTCATTGAAGCATGGATGTTTCGAGACACTGATTTTAATTAAAAGCAATCAGTCCTCGCCTTGGGGTTATTACAGAGTGTGAAATCCTTATCTGTGGCAACAGAGAGTGCTTGAAGAGGAGAGAACAGATGTTAGAACTCTCTCACCTGAGAAGCTTAATTATCTTGGGAAATAAAATATAAATGTGCATATATGTGTAATTTATGTTTAAAGGAGTGCTCTCAAGTGTTGTCCTGATGCTGTGTTTAGCCCTTGAGCTCATGTTCTGAGAGCTTTGTTTGTTGAAGGATCCAAGCTTCCTGTCTGTAGTGCAGTTGCATCAATCTTAGGCCATGCAAAGAACTGTAGGATTGCTCAGACTGATGTTTGTATAGTGCTGCAGAGTTGCAGCACCTGACAGGTGAAGTGTTTAGCTGCTTTTATGCCCAGTTGTATTCTATAAACTACATTATACTTCTCATTTTCTGCAAAGAAGACAGTTACAAGGAAGTATTCAGTGCTTATGCGTGTAAACCATGAAAATCCTTGACTGCGTGAGCTTTGGAACTTGTTACCTCTGCTTGTGCCTCAGAGTGCAGTATTTCTTGTGCTGGCTGAGGTGGGGCAGGGTATTATGGAACAAATGTATTCAGTCCTGCCTTCTGGCTAACAGCCCTTCTCGTTCCCTCCCAGCACACGTGTCTCATACTTTGCTGTTTTTGATGGCCATGGGGGAGTCCGAGCCTCAAAGTTTGCAGCACAGAATCTGCACCTCAACCTGATCAAGAAATTTCCAAAAGGTGAGAGAGTGGAGTGAGGGCTGTAGGACAATCATCACCTTTTGTGCTGTGAAGTTGTGGCTACTGCTTAAGGGAATGGATTTGTTGGTGCATAGTTGTGCAGTTTCCGTTCCTTATTCCAAATGGGCTTGTGTGCACAGAGACCACTCTGCCTCCTGGGGAAGGGAGTTGGAAGCCTTTTTTGGAATGAAAGTGCAAGCAGCCAGTATTGAACTACTTACCAAGCCTGAGATGTTCTATTGCCAGGCTTGGCAGTGCTGCTTTGTGAGAAAAGAAAAAGTAAAAAATAATCTCACTGAAGGAGAGGGAGTTGTCATAAGTTCTATACACATGTAATCAGGCAGACTTTGGTTACATGAGCCTGGGATGTCTCTCAGCTGCTGTGTGCAGGATCTGCCCAATGTGCTGCCATCTGTTCTGCGTGATGGATTGGATATGGTTTAGCAGGAGCTTAGTTGCTGTTTTCCCTGGCAGGTGAGGTGGTCAGTGTGGAGAAAACCGTGAAGAGATGCCTTTTGGACACCTTCAAACATACAGATGAAGAGTTTTTAAAGCAGGCATCCAGTCAGTAAGTGTAAATGCTTCCTGTGACGATGCCTTGAGTCGTGTCTTGGTGAAACACCAAGTACAGCTGTGTGCCAGGCTGTGCCTGCCTGCTTGAGCTCAGTCACAGCACATTCTAGTCTTACCCTGCAGCAGGCAGCCTGCCAGGACCCTTTGAGCTGAAATACCTGCTAATGGCAAAGAAAGGAGCCAAAACATAACCAAGAATCCACTCTGCACCTACTGGAGCATCCTGCTTGCCTTCTTTTTGAAGACTTAGCATGTTGCTGAAGTGGTGCATCCCATACTGTGTGAGCTAGGATGTCTTGTTGGGTTTTTTTTTCTACCGCTAATTTTTAAAACAAAACTAAAAAACACAGATTCTTTGTGGGTGAAATGCCAGCCTATCTCCCTGCTGGGTTTTGAGTGTAAACGCTCTTGTCTCGTTCTGTCTCTGCTAGACTGACACACCAGGTGTGGTTTATGAGCAAGTAGGGTACAAATCGGTAAGAAAACGATTGTATTTCAAACACAGCCTTTTATACTTCTTGTCTGTTTCTCAATGACACTTCTGACACAGCTGGAGAGACTGCTCCTTCTGAGATGCCCTGCAAATTTTAAGTAAATTAAAAATTGGCTGTTTCTTAAGAGATAATAAGTTTTCCTTCAGTCTGTTACAACAGTGTCACTCCCAAAGTAGTCTGTTTGCTCAGAAACATGACAAAGCTACTGCAAAGAATTCCTGTGTAGCAACAGCTGTGTTGATGGTGACATGCATATTTTCAGCTGAACCTTCAAATTCAGGAAAAAATGGTCAAAATATGTCCAGAAATCAGTCTCAAACCTAATTTCAGTGAAGAATGGTGTTCAAGCTGGGCTTCATTATGGGAAAGACTCAAGTGGCAACTGTAATGTAAGAACCACTTCTCAGCTTACCTAGAGCTCCAGGGATACAAGCTTTACTACAGCAAGTAAAATACCAGGAGTGTGAGCAAGCTGCTGAGGTGAAGGTGAGGACTGAAGTGGGCAGGAAGAGTACGATGAGAAAAGGAAGGGAAAGAAAGGCAAAAGGATGGTAACTCAGTTGCAGCCCTGGCCATCCTGGTTTTTGGTTTTTTTTCTTAGCTGCTTGCAGGTGTAGCTTAATGCAGCTTGCTGGCTGCTGAATGTCACTGTATGAGAGTCCCCAGACGCACTGTCAGCAACTTCTCAACAGTTTTTCTCCTTGGTAATCTCACTGTTGTTTCCTCAGAAAGCCTGCATGGAAGGATGGCTCCACAGCTACATGTGTCCTGGCTGTTGACAATATTCTCTACATCGCCAACCTCGGCGACAGCCGGGTAAGCAGAACAGAGATGCCCACTGTTGGCGTCTTGGTTCCTCTGCAAGCTTGCTAGCTCTGCAGGGTAAGTTCTGTTGCCTGTATTACTTGCAGGCAAGTGCTGTGGGGAAATACTGCAATCCTTCTGTACTCCGTGCCAGAGATCACAGAACCTTTCAACATTTAAGCTAGCTTTTCTTTTATATATGTAGAAAGCCTCAAGTGCAAACTTAAAGCTTTCTCAATAAGTTCTTACTACAGTTTAGGTGTTTACTCACGAGGTTCTTTTGTCAGCACAGGCTATTCTGTGTCGTTACAATGAAGAGAGCCAGAAGCATGCAGCCTTAAGCCTCAGCAAGGAGCACAACCCCACCCAGTATGAGGAACGTATGCGGATACAGAAAGCAGGGGGAAATGTCAGGTAAGTCCTGAAGGTAGTAAGTGAACAAACCTAAATGCTGGCTCAACTCTGGATGTAGAGTTTCTGGAGCTTTGCATACCTGCTAGTGAGAGCCTAGAGGTAATTTTCAGCCTATGAGTGATCCCTCAGATATCTGAGGAGTCAGTGGCCTGGTTCAGTTGGCTGATGAGTGCTGGTTTCCCACGGACTTAAAATGTGCTGCGAAGATAGGAAGTTATCCATGCCTGAAAGCCTGACAGCATAACATCAGCATAGACATGCTTAAACTTGAGCTGCAGAACTTGGCTTGACTGTTAAGCTGCACTTACAGCACACTATGGCACTGAGCAGAGTTCACTTGCTACTTGCAGCACCAACTCTCCCTCCTTATCTGGCATGAGGGAGAGTGTTTGAGAGGGCACAGTATCTGTCCTCATGGCTGTGCTTCTTGTTCCCCTAAGTGCTAGCAGCTGTACCAATGTGTGGGGCTAATTGTCCTGAATGGCAGAGCACAGGAGGGACTGCCTGGTGCTGTTCTGGTCTTCTATTGAAACACAGTGTGCTAGATACCATTCTTAAACACAGCCTGTAAATTCAGTCCTCTGCCTCCAGGAGCTGGCGTAACTCTTACTTCCCTGGCTTGCTAGGCTGAGCAGGACTTGAGTTAAGGCAGAGAGAAAACACCTTGAATTCTCCTGACTTCATTTTTTCCTTCCTCTCTCCATTTCTTTGTGCAAAAGACTGGGAAACACGCGGAATAGGATAGAGGCTTGAAAGGCAAGATTTGAACTTGCTGGGGAAGTGGGTTTGGTTTTGTGTGAGGTATCTGAATGGCTGATGGAGAAGAGCAAGATGTGTGTACATAGAGGAGACTCAGCATTTTTTCTCCTTGTGCAGGGATGGAAGAGTGCTGGGAGTCCTGGAGGTTTCCCGCTCCATTGGGGACGGCCAGTACAAGCGCTGTGGTGTAATCTCTGTGCCAGATATCAAACGCTGCCAGCTCACACACAATGACAGGTAAATCGTGCCTGCTCATGAGGAGGCTGCTCTGTCCTGGCTCTCTGCTCAGCAGCAACGCAAGCTGCTGCCAGAGCTAAGGCACTTGAGGCTAATCGCCCAGAATTAAAGGATGCTCTTGCTGCTGATGTCCCTCTGCTCCTGTTCCTTACCAGTGCAGTGGGACAGTGCTGCTGTCTCACTGCCAAGACACTGAAGGCTCCTGTTGGAGAAACCAGCCTCACTGTGGCGATAACACACACAGGCCTCATCCTCTCTTTATGCTCTAAGCTTGTGCACCTGTCTTCAAGCAGATGGTTAAGGCTTGAATCCTTGGATCCCTGTGCTGCCCAAGCGGTGTTCCTAGAAGCTGTGGTGCCCAAATACACCATTGCATTCAGCTCTGATTTTTGAAGATTTGAGATAATTTTCCAGCAAATGATTGATGATGATAAATTCCATTCAGGTCGGTACAGCCCTGAATGCTCTCAGAGGCAAGTGGGTGACCCCATGCTTCTGCTTCTTGTGGGATTAAAATTCTGTAGCAAGCAATCTACTGAAATATTTTAAGGTATATTCTGAGCATCAGGATCTGAAACTGCCTTCAAAGATGTGCATTGCTGTGGTGGAGGGGCTGTAGTTTTCTGTTTGGTGACTGTGTCTGGGGCTCCTGGTTAGTGCAAACTCCTGTGCAGGAGAGGAAGTGTGCAGCAAGCTGTTTCCTTCTTCCCATTGGGAGCTGAGAGATAGATAGCTCTCCTCCCCTGGGGTTTTGCATCCCTTGTGTTTACGCCAGGAGCACAGCATTGTAAAGGACTGCACTTAAGATATTAAGCTGTGTTGCTCTATTTCCTTGCACTTGGCTTCTTAGCAGGGCAAACGTGAATGAAAGGATCTGGGAGCTGTTCCTAGAGAAATGGTGCAGCTTCCCAGCAAGGCATAGGGACATATTGTATGGCCTTGCTTAATTGTGTGTGTCAGTCAGCCTCCCAGGATGTCCTGATGTAGGTCTGACGTGGCTCATCTAACTGTTGGCTTGTACTCTGAACTGCCTCAGCCCCCTGAGTTGATGCTGAGAAGCCTCCTGGTGCCTCTGGGGAGTTTTCAGATGAGCTTTTTTGCATTGTGTCTTTGGATTGAAACATGGATACTCATGTAAAGGGGGAAAAAAAAAGTGCAGAGGGACTTGGCTTTAGGTGGGGAGTCAAAGCTTCATTCTCGTAACCTGTCTGACTTCCAGGTTCATCCTGATAGCGTGTGATGGCCTCTTTAAAGTCTTTACGCCAGAAGAAGCTGTGAACTTCATTGTGTCCTGCCTGGAGGTATGGAGAAGGCATCTTGGGGGCTGGGTTTCTTATGCATTCATTTGTCAGTGCAGGAGCTGTGAAATCATATGTGACTTGCTCCCTCCAGATTAATTAGCTGAACAATGAGCAGGTGGTGCGGAGATGTACTTCTGCCAGAGGCTGCTCTCTTGATGCCTGTCCTTATTTAGTTTGCTTCCCTGTGCTCAGAAATAACCACGTGCCTGCACTGCTGTGCTTTGCTGGGAGCAATCAGTGTTGTCTTTCTCTTATCCCAATAGGATAAGAACATCCAGAAAAGAGAAGGGAAGCAGGAAGCAGATGCTAGATACGAAGCTGCCTGTAACAGACTGGCCAACAAGGCAGTGCAGCGAGGGTCAGCGGACAACGTGACGGTCATGGTGGTCCGGATAGAGCACTGAGAGATGAGGAGCAGCAGCGAGGTCCCCATCTGATGTAAAGATGGGACAAGTTGGTGTGGGTGTGTGCGTGGTGGGGGGAGGGCCCTGCTGCATGCTCCTCAGTGTAAATAAAGGTTTTTTCTAATAGTTTTAGTTCACTTGGCTAGCAGTGTTTTCTAAGCAGTTACTACAGTGGATCAGCTCATTGGGGGAGTTTTGTGTCCTGTTAACCCTCACCCCCTTGAATGTCCCGACAAACCAAATAAATCCATTTGGTAGAGGTGTTGGTGAGAGCAGGCATCTTTGTGCACAAACTGCCACCTGTTCAAATGTTGCAGCTTTGCTGTTCGTTTCCTCGAGCTTTGTATGATGCCTAGAAGGAGCTCCATGCACCAGGGGTTCAGTGGGAGCTCCTGATTGGGCTCTGTGTTTCCTACATTCTGGTGCTGGGAAGGAAATCCTTTGGTTCTGGAGCGTGAAGTGCTCCAAGTGGCCCTGGGAGAGCAGCAGAGATCGTGCTCCGAGGCAGGGTGGGCCTCACCAGCCCTGTATGTGGCCCTGAGCAACATGGGGATCCCCCACCCTGACACACAGGCAGGCCACAGAGCTCCTTGTTGTGCACGTTTAATGAGTCAAACATGACAATAGCACTATGGAACAACTTGATCAAACAATACCAGCATCCCAAGAGCAGAGTGCTGGAGGCTGCATTGGCCTCGGAGAAGGTGTGGCTTCGTGCTCAGCCCGACCTGGGGCTGTGGGTATCAGAGCTAGGAAAGGGCTGACAAAGTGCCAGCTGTGTCACCATTGTGGGACCATGTCCTTGGGGAGCTTAGTCATGTGCATGCTGTGTTGCTGTGCAAGGGGAAGCTGACGCTGAGCAGCTTCAGCACTGGGGAGGTTTGCCCTGCTTCCCCTGGCACTCTAGATCCCAAAGCCACGGGGAAAGGGGGCTGGTGGAAGAGCAAGCAACTTTGAAATACCCCAAAAGTTTTGGGATTTCAGAGAGTAAGAAAAGCATTTTTTTTTTTTAATTAAAAAAAAAAGCTGAGGTGCTGGTGTCTATGGTAGGGTTAGGGAGATGGGGTGGCAGTGAGATGTGAGGGAATGCAAGCAGCTCCCTGTCTGGCTGGGGCTGAGCCTACCAGCACCTGGGCCACTGCTGTCAGCTCTGCTACCACCCCTGGTCCCCTGGGAAAGCCTCAGTCCACTTGGAGGTGTCCATGAAGATGGAGGAGGAGCTGTGGAAGAGCCAGAGGCAGGGCAGCGAGCCCTCCCGCACCCAGCGGTCCTTGGCACAGTCGTACACCTCCATCTCCACCCGGTAATCCCCATCCATGCCCTTCCAGTGGCCGCCGGTGACGAAGAGCCGATCTCCCAGCGGCACCATCCCACCGTTCTCATGCAGAGTGTGCAGGAGCTGCACCTGCACCAGGGGAAAGGCAAGTGTTGGGGTCCCACGGTGCACCGAAGCTTTAGCAGCATCCGTGCTTTGGGCTCATACAGTGTGCTGTGGGGATGGAGTGCTTGGGGGAATGTGCAGGGGTTTCATGCTGGTGGCATTGGGAAAGCCAGGGTGATCTCTGCTTAAAGCCGTAACTCCATGCGGATGCTGTGCTCCTGGAGCATGCACTACCTTCTGCCAGATGTTGGCCTCGGGGTCGTAGACGTGCACCTTCTTGGTGTTGTCCCCGATGAGGTAGATGAGGCCGTGCAGCGTGGCGCAGCGTGGGGCTGAGAGGTACTTGGGGATGAATGGGGATGTGATCACACTCCATGCATCTGCAAGGGACAGCTGTCAGTGGGCGGGCAGGGAGCAGCCCCGGGTATTTCTTTAACCCGGGGGTTAAAAGGAGATAAATTGGCACCCATGCTGCCCACCCAAGGCAGTGACACAACCCAGGGGTTTGCTATAGAGCACCACTGGGGATGGCACTGCGGTTTGGTGGGTGCTCACCTCGCACAGGGTTGTAGCACTGCAGGGTGAGCGCGTTGTACTTGACAGCACAGGAGCCCACCAGGTACAGCTTGCCCAGGCAGCCGGCGGCGGCGAAGTTGCTGACATATTTGAGGGCTGGGCTGATGGCTGCCCAGCTCTGGTTGTAGGGGTCATAGCGCTCCACCTCCACCACCTCCACCGTCGTCCCTGCAGGGCAGTAGCACGCTGCAGCCCTCTGTGCCGTGTCACAACCACCCACCTGTCCCCCCAGCATCACCTTACCCCCGAGGACGTAGATCTCGCCGTTGAGGACTGCGCTGGTGTGGTTGGTCCGCGCTCGCAGCATGGAGGTGATGGCTGTCCACACACCATCCTTGGGGCAGAAGCGCCAGGCCTGCGTTGTTGACCACGTGTCATTCCGGGACCCTCGGGAACCACCTACAGGAACAGGTCAGGACCCAAAGTCAGCTTCTGCTCAGATAGGGGTCCCCAGTCCCTGGGACGATGCTGACCCCCAGCCCAGCACCTACCAGTGACATAAACATCATTGTTCAGCGCTACCAGAGAGAAGCCCCACTTGTTGTAGTCAGGGAAGTCGGGCAGAGCCATCCACCGCCCTGCAAGGCAGCAGAGCCACGCTGTCACCCTGTGTGTGGGCTGGGGACATCCCACCTGCACCATCAGGGGTGGGGACAGCAGCTCAGGGTGACACCTTTGCACCAGCCCTATTTCATTCTTCCTTCACCCTGTGTCCCCAAGATACCAGATGGTTTAGGAGCTGCTTTTCTCCATCTTATCCCATGTGGGAGGAGCTGGGGGATGATGAGCACACCGTGGTGAGCACTTACGCGTTTTGGGGTTGTAGAAGGCGAAGTTCCTGGGGGTGGCCGGCATTTCCAGCCCCCCCTCCTCGTCCTCGCTCTCCTCCAGCACGCGCCCACCCACCACCACCAGCACCTCCTCCAGTTTCTGTGGTGGGGCTGCCTTTGGTGGCATGGGGACAGTGCCGGCGGCACCGAGCATGGCACGGGAGCGGGCCACCAAAGCCTGGCTGGCGGCTGAGTCACGGACGAGGGGTTCTGTGGCGAGCAGGTTCTGCAGGTAGTGGTCAGGCAGCGAGACCAGGCGGGCCAGCTCCAGCAGCTCAGGCAGGAACTGGGCCCTCTGTCCCGGGTCGTAGCGCACCCAGCGCAGCACGGCTTCGGCCACGCTCTGCTCCTCCTGCACCTGCAGCTGCTCGTTGGAGAGGTAGACGGCCAACCTCTCCTTGGAGAGCTGGAGGAACTCCTCCTGCTGAGAAACAGCCTCAAAGTTCTCCTGCAAAAAGGACCAGGCCTTGGAGGACACCTCGGGGCAGCCGTGGCTCTCGCCAAACTCACAGATCCCCAGGCAGTTGGTGGCGTCCATCTGCTGCCGCAGGTAGCGGCTGCACACCTGCTGGATGGTGGGGAAGTGCAGCTGGCTGGAGGTGCGCATCAGCCCCTCTACGTTGCCCTGGTTGATGGTCACCTTCCCCGTGTAGGCGAAGTCCAGCAGCGTCTCCAGCGCGCCGGGGTCCACCTCCTTCAGCTCCACACGTGCCGCGATGCTCTCGGCGAAGTCCCCAGAGAACATGGCGTGGAAGTAGTGGCTGCAGAGCGCCAGCACGCCGCGGTGGCAGGGGAACTCCCGCCCGCCCGCCAGCAGTGTCACGTCCGACAGCTTGGGGTGGGCGCGCAGCCGCTGCAGCCCCTCCAGCACGCCCTGCGCGTGCGACGGCAGGCAGAAGTCAAAGTCATCCACGTTACGCACCATGGTGCTGGGTTTGGTGGCTGGGGCGGCCGCAGGTCCCCACCGCGGGAAGGAGCCCGGGCTGAGCGTGGCGAGGCTGTCCCTGCTGGGAGGTGGTAATGACGGGTCCTTCCTTGCACTGCCCGTGTGATGTACGGCACCAGCTGGGGCTGAGGAAGGGATTTCAGGATCCCCGCAGCCCCCCTGCCCTCACCGCCTGGCGGCTGCGCCTTCCCCACCCGCAGCCATAGGGCTGAGCTGCCTTCCTGGAGCTGCCGCGTATTTCTGGGAGGGGTTGCAGTGATCCAGGAGGGTGGTTTTAGGACTGGGGTCACATTCAGCCCCCAACGCTTGAATCGTTCACCCTTACACACCAAAGTGGTGCACATGGAGATTACCCCCCCCCTTGGCACGGCTCAGCCTGAGCATCCCATGTATGGGGTGGATGTGTGGGTGCCCACAGGAAAGGGTCAAACTCATCCCCCTACCCCACCCCCGTAGTGCTCAGCCCCCAGCCCTGCCAAGTCCCATGCCCACCCCACTCCTACCTGGGCTGTGCCCCGCTCAGAGCGTGCCGTGTCCCATGCAGCAGGGAGGGCAATGGCAGGGCACGGGAGGGACACGCGGGGTGGTGGCAGGGGCTGAGCTGGGGGGGTATTTTTAGCCGGGGCGGGGACGGTGCTCTTAAAGGCACCGCTGGAGCAGAGCTGCCTGCTGCCACCACGGGGCACCCAAGGGTGCGGAAGGGGAAATCACCCCTCCAGGGTCCTGAGAGCACCGTGCTGCTGCGTGTGCCCAGGAGGGGCAAGAAAGACCCCCGGGCTGTTCAAGCACATTTCTGCGTCCCATTCCCCTGCCTGGGGCCGGCTGTTAAATATAGGCTCGTATCTCAGCCCCGAGGTGGAGCGCAGCGGGTGGCAGCAGACACAGCGCAGCCGGCACCGAGCAGCCGGGCCTCCACGGCACCGGGGCACTCAGCAGGGCATCCTCCATCACTGCAAAACATCCCGAAGTTTTTTTTTGAGACAAAACTGAAACGCTTTTATTGAGGCCCTTGGAGAAGCACAGAGGGCGTCCACGGGCGTCGTGAGGCGTCACTCCTCGAAGCTGAAGATCTCGGCCTCCTTCTCCTTCCAGAAGGCGAAGCTGCGGTCGATGCACCTGCAGATCTCCTCCTGGCTGCTGCGCCCGTGGCGGGACGCGCTCTGCGGGGGGCTGCCCCCCGCTCCCCCCGCTCTCCAGGCCGAGCCCTTGGCAGTGCCGAAGAAGCGCTCCTTGATGTCCTCGAAGCCGTCCCCCCAGCCCCGCCGGCCGGCCGCGATCTCATCGGTGACGGCGCGGTGGAAGGCGCGCGCTGTGTCCCAGCCGTGCCGGCCCAGGTGGTCGAACACCTCGAAGCAGAGCAGGTGGCGGCCGCGGCGCTCCTCGGGGGGCAGCTCCCGCTCCAGGATGCGAAAGTAGCCCAGCATGAAGAGCTCCAGCGTCAGGCTGTCGTAGTCGGCCGGCGTCCCGTCCGCGCGCCGCACGAACTGCTCGGGGGACAGCGGGGCGCGGGGGCCGCCCGCGGTGGGGGGCAGCGGTGGCGGGGGGCAGGCGGCCACGTCCCTCCAGCTGCCCAGGAGCTGCTGGATGGCGCTGCACTGCCGCGACAGGCGGCCCCTCCTGCCCGCCTGCTCCTCACCCGGAGCGCCCGCTCTCTCCCTCTGGGCCTGCAGCGCCCGGCAGGCCGCAGCCCAAGCGTTGAGGCCTCCGGCCGAGCGCTTCCAATGGCTGAGGAAGAGCAGCACGATGCGCTCCTTGCGCAGCCCGGCCGACTCGGGCACCGGTGAGCCGCTGCCTTCTGACAGCGCTTCTTCGCAGCTGATCCCCGAGTCGCTGGCGGCCTCCACCACCGCTGCGGTCTCGCTCTCCCCGCCGCCATGCCGCTCGAAGGCCCCGCGCAGGCTGCTCACGCTCACCCCGCACTGCCGGATCTCCCGCTGTGCCACACTGCCTGATGGCGTCCGCAGGGCTGCGGGGAGCGGGGCGGGCGGCAGGGCGGGCGTGGGGCTGCCACGAAACCCCTCAGCCTTGGCCAACAGCGCTTCCAGGCTGCCCACCACGCCGGCCAGGCGGCCACACCAGAGCGGCAAGGGCTGCCCTGGGGCAGGAGGAGGGCTGTGGACAGTGATGCTGAGCAGTGGGGAGGGCAGCAAGGCGCGCAGCTCTTGGGCCAGGCGCTGCAGCTCGTCCTGGTAGGCCTCTCCTCGGCGCCGCAGCCGCAGGCTCTCCACCGCCCGCTCCAGCTGCTGTAGGTCGGCCTCAGTCAGCAGCTCACCAAAGGGCCCCAGCACGGCCTCATGGGACGGTGAGAAACGCCAGGCGCCCGGCTCCTGTGGCAGGAAGCCATCAGGATGCAGCGACACACAGGACCCAGCCGTGTCCCACCCACAGCCCGGCCCTACCTGATCACACGTGGGCGCCTCATCCGCCAGCCGTGCCCGCAGCCGCCGCACCATCACCTGCCGCTTCCACTCAGGGATGGCGCGGCCCCGCTCATCGTGCGTGGGCACCAAGGCGTCCACGTCCAGAGGGTCCACCGTGGTGGTGGTGCCGTGGGGGTCTTTCCAGGGTGCTGCCGGCTCTGCCGCCATGCCCTGTGCAGCAGCACGGTTCCCCCGGGCCTGCCTGGTGCAAAGGGGAAGGGCAGGGACACGAGCGCGGGATGGCGGAGCGGTGCGGTGACGTACCGGGTCCATGAAGGGCGCCGGGATCCTGCCCCGCTGTACAGGTCGGCGGAGCTTCAGCTCGGGCAGCGGTGGCTCCTTGGGCTGCATCACCCTCGGGTCTGGGACCTTGTGGGGACAGGAGCACGAGGACGTGTTGTGGGATGGAAGAGGAGTCTGCATCCCTGCTCTGCTGGGAGGGACACAGAACCAGCACAGGTGTGAGGGCAGAGAAATGCGTTCAGACATTTATCCTAGGCAAAGCACTTACAGCTAGATGAGGAGAACCAGGAAAAGCTGTGAGCGCATCTGTTGACACAGCCCTGCACTCCTGGTGCCTATCTACCCGCAGGGATGACCTGCAGCTCCTGCAGCCCACACTGCAGCATGGCCCTGGCTGGGTGCTCTGCTCCTGGGCACAACAGACACCTTCACTGGCAGCCCTGGGGAGGGCAGAGAAGGGGACCTGGGCCTGGGGTAGCTGTGATGGCACACAGCACTGCTGTGCTCAGGAGGGCTCTTTGCAGAGCAGCACAGTCCCACCCCAGCAGCAGCCCTGCATTTCTGCATGTCCAGGCTTTGCAACCCAACCTGACCCTGCATACGGCCGAGGCACAGGGGGCTGGGAAAGACCTTTCCTGGCTCCCTTCTCGCCTGCCCAACAGTGGCCCCGCTGCAGACACTTTTCTGATCTGCTTGGGCAGTGTTCCCATGCCTGCCTCGGGCTGAACTGCAGGGACAACAGCTGCCCCAGGGCACAGAGGGTCTGTGTGGGTGGACATCCTGGGGGACACCCACGATGCCCACGGAGACAGGACCCCTCCTATCCATAGCCACGTGGGGCTGTGCCCCCCTCCACTGCCAGCCCTTCTTTTTCCCCAACCCCTCTCCCAGCACTCACTCACCTCAGGGCTCGCTGCCACAGGCAGTGCTCACAGAGCTGCAGCAGGAGATGGGGCTCAGTGGTGCAGGCTCATCCAAGGGTGCCCCTCCAGCAGAGCGTGGTGCTTCTCACCTGCATGGAGCCAGGGGGAATAGGGGACACAGCGGCCCCCCAGGAACATGGAGCCAGGAACACTGTGCTACCCACACCCCGTCCTGGGCAAAAAACAAGCAACTGGATCCTAGTGCTGCTGTTCACACCACGGGTTGTTATCTCAAAGCCCTTGAAAAGAAGGAGCCTCATTAGTGAAGCAAATGTGCTGGCCGGCATCAGCCGCCGGCTCACCACCCGCCTTGCAGGAGCCAAAGATGCGGCCGATACAGCAGGGCTGGCACAGCCTTGACGGGCTTTAGCATCAATAGGATGATGTGGTGATGGAGGAGGGATGGAGCCTGGCACCCACCGTCCTGACGTATCCACTGCACCAACCTCCAGGTCAAGCGATGCACAATCCAACGACGGGTCAGGGCTGGATGTGAGTGCAGGCACCCTGTGCCCAACTGCACACAGCTGTGGGGCAGTGGCAGGGAGGGGGTCCGACTGCAGGAGCCGCATGGCTGCTCCCGATATTCAGCGCTGTTTTTGTTTCCTCACTCAACCTCCATCCATTATATATGGCCAGAATATATCAGTGGAGCTCGGTTACACGAGAGAAATTCAATCGAGGGGTTGGAAAAAAAAAATCAAGCAGCAGGAGATCAAAGCCTCTAAACGGTAACCACCTGGTGAGGATCCATTACAGAGCCGGCCTCCGGCCCCCCAGCAGGAGAACACTCCGAGGGCACCACTGCCACCAGCTCAGGCACAGCAGAGATGGAGCTGGGGAGCTCAGGGACCAAAGATGGACAGAAGCAAGCTTGAGCACCCCGCTGCCCACCTTGGTATCCACCAGGACCCGTACAGTCGCACAACAATTCGGCCTTGGCTTGTAAGGAAGCTACAGGTGCAAACCAGATAGGTTTGCCAATAGGAGCAGCCATTAGAAGGGCACTGCAATCCCCAAGCCTTCCACAGAGCTCCCATTTAAAATCCTTCAGGTGGGAATAGCAGGCACCCTGAATTTAGATCTATCTGAAAAGACAAAATTCACCCATCGCATATACCAAATCACAGATTTTTACTCAAGATAAATCCCCCTCTCATCCTTACCCACCCCTACAACTATCTCCTGCACCACAAGCTCTGCGGAACCCCTTCTTTCACCTCCCAGTCCCCACTGTTTAGAGCTTGTTTTGCTGCTCAGTGACTCAACGTCTTCACCTGTACTCTTGCAGCATCCTGCACAGAAGCCGGAGGTCTGGTGTTGGCCTCTGGGCCTGTATCACCCTATGTGAGAAACAGGATTCCTGCAGGACCTGACCCAACAGCCTTCAAAGTCCATGGAGGAGTGAGTCATAGAATCATAGAGTGGCTTAGGTTGGAAGGAACCTTGAAGATCATCCAGCTCTGCTCGTTCTTTGTCCCGCTCCAGCTCTGTCACACAGTAAGAGGTGTGTGAATATGTGAGCTGAATTTCATTAGGCAGGAGCTGGAGGTCTCACAGTTGATCCCTATAATGCAAATCCATTCCTAATCCTGCTGCTTCTGTGGCACAGTCAGACAATAACCAAGGAAGCAGAAGGTTGAATCCATCGCCCTTTCTACCCCTGAAGCATACTGACAAACAAACATCAATCTCTTCCAACCTTAACGATTCCATGTTTCTAAGTATCCAAAGGCCCCATTTGCAGAGCAGACAGCCTCAAAGACCACTCAGCAATCACACCCAAAAACACAGCCATAAAAATAAAAGCTTTTATTATTATTATTATTTTTTTATATATACCATTACAGGAACATCCGCTAACATTCTCACCAGCATGGGCAGCTCTGCACGGCCGGGGCTGAGCGCAGGTACCCAGCTCCAGCCTTCACCATCCTACATCCCCGAGCCACTGCTGCTCCCGGGGCACATTGCCCAGCTCCTCACCCTGGCCCTCCTGGCATCAGGGTGTCACCTTCTTGTAGGTGATGTGGAGGTGCTGTGTCATGGGCTGTGTAGTGGTCGCCATGGAGACTGTTTGTTCTAGCTTCCCATCGGAATTGAGACGGAATTTTCTGGTAATCTGAGAAAGGGATAAGAAAAGAAATATCTCATAAATCAAGCAAACTACATTCCCCACTAAAAGTTTTCTGTTTGAGCGATGGCTGCTCTCAGTGAAGTGTTTTGTGGGACAGCCAAGCAGCAGACCTCTGCGTTACACTGCCTGGCACCATTACAGCCACCCCCTCCTACAGACAGGCCAACAACCAGCAATGCCTTCCCCATTCCTCCTTGCACTGTTCCTACTGCACTAAACCTCCCCAGAATCAACCTGTGGTTACCCTGTGGAGCTACAAAGCTGAGGAGCTGTGCAAGCAGAAGCCCGAACCCAGATATCAGCGACTTCCAAGCTGCTCAGGCTGTGTTCAGATCTGGGTTTAGCACATGTTGTAAGTCTGCTCTTAGGTGTCTATTTAATAAGGAAGAGAAGTGGGGCCATTGTATGTAAATGGTTGGTTCAAAATAATACTTAAGAGTACTGCTCCATCTGCCCAGCTCTTAGGGACAGCAGGATGACCTGCAAGTATGATTAACTGGCAGTTAATTAAACCAGCCCCATTTAGAAATTTCTGCAAGAAAGAAGAAAGTAAAGATCGTTAGGAGCACAGTGTGGTCAAAAAGCACCCCATGGATTCACAGAGCATTTCTCTAACAATAGCTGCCTCACCATAAGGCTTCTGCTAAGAGGATATACTGAAGTGTACACATCCCTGCTCTGACCCAGCTCCCTTTCACCTTAACAGCTAAAAAACCAACGGCCTTTCCAAAGAGCCACGTTCACATCACCACCAGGGTGATCCACACAGCAGTGGAAGGCCAGCAGGAAGACACCAGGATCTCTGCTGCTCCAGAATTTCAGCTGGTCTTGAAGACATGGAAGGGAAAGGAGGCTTTCACAGGCATGTTCATTTCCCATGAAGGTGACTCAAGGGCACATCCATGAGCTGCTGCCAATCTGCGTGCTCTAAACCAGCATCCTGCCCCATTAACACATCTGTTTCTACACATGCAACATGTGCCCAATGCCAGCAGTAACACATCCCCTTCCATTTCAGCAGCCCGTGCCTGCCAAACACACAGCTGGTGCTCCTGCTCTCTTAAGACCACCTTGTCCTTATCAACCCACCCTCAGCTTGCCCTGGCTGCTTCCTGAAACAGGAACAGACAAATTAAAGATTGCTGAACAGCCTGGTTTGACCCGTTATCAGAAGCAATAACAAATGGTGCATATGCAAATTGTTCTGATCTCATGACTGAAAACCAAACAGCAAAGGAGGAAATCCATGATGACTATCAGAACAGACACAGGGTGCTCTGTGTCCCACAGCTGTGGAAGGCAGACTTGGAAAGGACATGTGATCAGGCAGGGCAGTGTGGCAGGGATCTGTATCTGCAGAGTGGACTGATCCATGGCTGCCTCTGTAAAGAGAAGCCCTTTCCTGTGGGCTCAGTGCTGCTGTTTAGACAAGACTTCCCTATTTTCTTCCATAAGAACCTGCTGCTGCCATGGTGGAGACAGGGCTGTGGCTGGCTGCTCTGACTCAGCATGGCAGTTCTTATCTCAGTGATCCCTTTTCATCTTGTAATCTATGAAATGGCTTCTGAAAACTCAGAGAGAAGATAAGCAAGGATGCTGTGCAATATTTCCAAGAGCACCCGAGGCAATCTGTAATTAAAGCGTGTTAATCAACCTGTCCTCTCAAACAGACACCCCCTGGGCTAACATTATGATTTGAATTGCTGACCGAGCGTGAACTCACCTGCTCTACATGGGGCTTCTTGGCAAAGGAGATCCTGGCTATGGAGTGAGAAGCTATAGACAGCTCTTGACCATTCACCTCCCCTTCCTCCACCTCCACAAGACCTAATGAGAAAGCAAAGTCATAAATACAACGGTTAATTAACAAAATGTCACAATTATTAGGCTACATAGACAAAGAACGTTTTTCCTTGACCTAGCACATATCAGCAACTGCAAATCCATGCAACCTCAGAAACATAACGCTACTTGGAAGCCCCAGCCAGACTTACTCTCACACTGTGGGATGAGTATCACATTGCAACTGGCAATTTTCCATTCAGCACCTGCTCTGTGGTCTTAGATCCAAATTTAAGCATCAGCAGGGTTTGAAATTTCTTCACTTACAACAGTGTAGATGTAGTTCTGTCTCTCATTTGGTCCCTGTAAGTGCACAGTGAGGCACTAGTTCCAAACAGTGGGAAATTCTCCTAGTTTAAGAGCTCATGGAAAGAGTGGGAATGATGTAACTCATCTGTACATGTTCCTCCTTTCTCTCTGCACAAAAAGACCTGGATGCCACAAAGGCAACAAGAATGCCACTGGCCCCTTATAACTGCCCATCATTAAGGCTGAGATTGCAACTCCTGGCATGAATCAAAGAGTTCCTTTGTTTTCAAAATCTGTGTCTGCAAATATCAGCATACCATTTTAGGAAAGGGTACCCCTCATCTCATGCACGTGTGATATTTGGATTTGTGGTCTCTTCCTGACTGAGACAGCCATAAAGCCTTGCTGGCTGGGCTAAACCAGACCCAGCAACGTGGTGCTCATTAATAGCAGGATGGAGGTGCTGAACCCACAGTGAAAATAAATGACAAGAAACTGCTAAAGAGGAAGAGTGATGAAAGGCACAGCAGGACAAGGCCCCCCCCGTTCGCCAGAGAGGCAGTACCTGTGTTCTGGGCGCTGATGAAGGCCACCTTATTAGTGTCAGGCTTGAGGCGGATGAATCCACATTCTCGATGCATTGGTTTCCTGGTGTCCGGATGGAAGGCATTGAATCTGAGGGGAGATCAGAATACCAAAGCTGCTGTACTGCTGCACTGAAAATACAGGCTTTGGCCTGGTTTCATCTTAGAGGAAACCACATAGCATTTAACCACAAAAGCCAGTGTTATTTGTAGAGTAAGAGGCCGACCATGCTTCATGATAGGAAAATGTGAGTGTGTAAGAGGACAGCCCCTCCACACACACATCTAGGTCCCAAATAAGTGGAACCTGTTATTTAAGTTCAGGCTTCAGATTTTCTCTAAAAGCTAGCTCAGAAACTCCCTTGGGTTACAGTAAGACACAGCACTGATGCTGAAGGCATATTCCATCTCAAAACCTTCCTTCTCTCAAATAAACATCTAGCCTTGCAATATCACCTTTATTAAGCTTTTAAATCTGGCAATCTTTTTCTTCCTTGCACATTACTTGCCACTGGCAGTAACACTGCACACTTATTTCTTCCCCACCTCAAAAAGAAGAGCAAAATAAATCAGCTCAGATGCCTATTTAGGCATCTTCAGGATGCCTTACAGCTGCACACTTGGTCATCGATATCACGGGTGTTATTTATGTATTATTACACATGATCATAAATTACATTAGCACTCCTGAATCTACACAGGGGACTGAATTAAACAGCAACTTAAACTCACTGATAGCTGCATAATACATTGGACTACTCCACTGATGTATTATGGCTCACATATTCCAGACTCACCTCTCTCTTTTCACATCATTTGACTTTGCATTTCCATCTCCTCACCCTCTTGTGAGAAGGAGGCAGAGGCAAGCTCAGAGCTGCTGCAGCAGGCTGCATCCATGCTGAGGGCTGGCCTGGCAGCCCAGCTGTGCTCTGCAGCTAGTGCAGCCTATGGAGCTGTGCATCATGCTGACATTATTGAGACTCCAAGTGCGAAGGAACTGAACTAAAGCAGTTTTCAATGCCTGAACAATTACTTGC